TTCTGCAAATTTCAGGATGCACATGACTGCTTTAAAACCGACCGATAGCTTCTCTGCAGTGGTTTTGGCATTTCTGATTTTGTCAATATGCTCGATTATGCTGCTCAGGAAATTTCGAATTTTTTCATCTTCAAGCCACAATAAGGCTTCACTAGCTTCTTTAAGAACAGCTAAATTTTTCTGTTTCATTTTCTCGCTGTACTGTGTTCGAGTTCGCGGGGCTTCCTTCTTTTCAGGGTTTCCGAGTTCCGGAAAGTCTTCTTTACTCCTGGTGAAGGCATCTGGCTTTTTGAAGTCCGGATTCTTCTCAAACTTCTTACGATACTGCACACAACCACGGTAGCTACTCACATGGCTTTCTTTACAGAAAAGACAGGTAGGTTTTTCTTCCTTTTTCAGAGAGCATTCGTTACTTGTATGAGCTTGGCCACACTTACAACATCTTTCCAAATTCGTGCACAAGTGCTGGGAGTGCCCCACTCCTGGCACCTGTAACACTGAATCGGTCTTTTCCGAGGGTTGAATTTCTCAATCACAACATTCACACTGAACATATTGTTTAAATTGTGAATTGCTTGGCCATTCTTGTTTTTCTCCAGCTCCAACAGCCAGATCGGCAACTTCTCGAAGTTATATTTAAGGCTTACGCAGAATTGTTTAACCTTTACGATGGGAAACTTCCTAGTTTCGAGGTCCTCCCGTATGGCATCTTCAGATATTTTAGCTGGTAAGTTCTTCAGGATAACCCTTAAAGATTTTTCCTGGCTCATGAGAAAAGTATGATGAGGTATTCCTCTTTTTTTGTAGAACTTCAGTTGTTTCTCTGTAATCCGCCACAGATTTCAGGTTCACGAAAATGGATTTCGATTTCAACTGAGCATCAAAATCCTCCTTACAAATTTTTATGAGTTCTTCCTCTATTTTAAGCCAATCAACTTGTTCTTGCTGGAACATAATAGGGGGAGAGGTTTCATCTGCATTTGCTCCGCCTTCGTTAGCATCCCTTACGGAGTTCAGCTTTTCAAAACAATTCGGCTTTGTAATATCTATAGGTACTGGAGTCTGTTTTACCTTCGCCGTCTTTTTAGGAGAGATTCAGGTACTAGTTTTTGCATCTAAATCCTCTTTTCCATTTTCTTCTGCCTTTTCATCGTCTATCCTTTTCCCAATCTCTTCCACCGGCTCTTGAGCCTTTCTCGCGTTTAAATAATTTGCCATCAATGAAACGAATTTTTTGTTTAAGCTCATCATTTAACGGCTGATAGTTTTCTTTATCTCCTGAGATCCGATCATTTTCCTCACAACTACTAGACTTCTTCGCTGTTTTTACCTTCTTGGCCTTTTTCTGGGGGGACTTTACAAAATCTTTCATTCGTAAAGGTTGCTTTTTCTTGGCTTTCGATGACCTGTCCACATCCGAGAGTTCGTCTTGCGTTAAATCAGTGGGTGTCCTAAATAAGGACATTTTCCTGTACCCGCGGGTATCTAAATCAGCACGAACGAATTTTTACCGCAAAAAGTAGCTAGAAACTTAATTGTCCGCCTACGTGAGTGGGACAATTTCCTAACCACGAAACGTGATAATACATGAATCCACCAACACTAGGTACGACCTACTCCTAACGCACTCACCTCTCGAATGATTATACGATTAAGATGCGCAATCAGCTGGATTCTCCTTTCCCTTTATGTGATTCCAGTGCGATGATAACAAGACTGATAGAATTTCTGAAACGCGGTTGGTTACGAAGGTTTGCTAGCGTGTGGGTTCTGATTGTATCCATGACAAAACTATCATTGAATCACTCCATGCGTAAATATCGTCAACATGAATTTGCAATGAATTCTGCACAGCTTGAACCAAACACTGCCAATAGAACGGCAGAGCAGAGTTTCAAATAAGGAATAGAAATTACTTTCAAGGGAGCTACACGAGTATTTGATGCTAGTAGCTGCATCGAAACTGAAGAATTATTTAAAGCACACGACCTTGTCCCAAATTTTAATTTTAAAACGATAGTTTTAATGGGAGCTGTATGCGCATTTTGTTTAAAAAAACTAAAATTATATCTCTATTTTAAAGAAGTAAAGTGGTCAGAAAGAACGTTTTGAATGCGGAGATATTTGGTTGATGTTCTGCAAATATTTTATTACACATTTTATCAGACAAATCAAGAAAATAATTAATTACTTATATTAAAATAATTATTAATTTTAAATAAATTTTCCAGAAATCGATCAAAATAAAAATTGAAATTTTCCGGAAAATCTTGTTTGGACACCATTTGGCGCCCCTCTGAGAGCGGCGCCCGGGGCATGATACACCCCTTGCCCCCCCCTTCGCTACGCCACTGACGTATTGCCGTTGCTGTAATCACACCAGATATGATTCAAAGTACCATGGATGGAAATAGAATATCACTTTGATATCTGCAAGGCAATCAACGGAACTCATGTGGAAATTTGCTGATTATATGTAAAAATTTTCATGCTTATTCTGCAATAAAAATTTGAATCTACCTTGAATATTTTCCCCGATAAAACAGTTTAAAATCAAGTCCATTTTTTCGATGTATTTTATTATTCGATTGCATTTTATCATTAAATTAAATTTCGTATTCTCATTGATTGTGGTTATCAAATTTTTATGAATATTTTACGGTTGGATGCCATCACAGTAGCGGCGTACAAATTTATTTAGCTTTAATGGGGGGGGGGCGTATATCGCCGGTATAGCAGTATGATTTTTTTTTCCATCACTACATGCCTCATTGAAAAGGTATATAAATACTTATTACTCCTCATCTCTTCTTACACATTTTTAAGTCTTGAAAGTTACTGGTTAAGAATAATTTTATTTGTTAGTATTTGGGGTTTTTTACATTTCTAAGTACTCAATTAAATAAAAACTTTTATGAAGGAGCCTATATTAAACATTCCTTATTACCATATGAGCAACATTACAATGTTTAACTTCAAATGAACTTTATTAGTTAGTAAACATTTTGAGTCCTATATATGCGGAAGAATGTAAAAATGGTATTTGTGCTATTGAAAATAGACATGACGAAAGATACGTGAGGAACATATGCATGTTTTCAGTGTTAATAATAATATTGAATCTGGCACGACAAAGATATTAAGACTGGGGCACTGCCGAAAAATTTGCAGTATATCTGTTTAATTAATTTTAAAATACTAGATATATATTTTAAGAAATTGTTATACTAGTTGTTGCTGTGCATGCGTAGTTCCCTTAAAGAGAAAAAGACTTTTTATATACAGGGTGATTATAATTAAAGTTTAAGTTTCAAAACGCTATAAAAAAAGAACCACTGATGAAAATGATGTGAAATTTGAAAGGAACGTTATTGAAGAAGGCGGAAAGCGTATGGCAGAAGAAAAAATTTAGTTTTAAAAGTTAGCAACAAATGGCGCTGTAAGCGGGAGAATCACGACGAGAAACGAGAAATGATTCGTAAAACAACGGCTAAGGTGGAAGTTACACATTAAAACGCATTGACAAATTAGAATTGTTGAATAATTTTATTTGCATGACTGTACATATCACATCGAAAGGGACAAATCGGTTTCAAGAGTTTTGCGGCGACATACCGCATAAGAACCATTCATCAAAGCAGTTCGGAACTGTCACGAGACTTGCGCAAAACATGTTCAATATGGTGTCCACCGTTGTGTGCAACAAGTTGAAAGCGACAAACAGCATGTTCCACAACAGATCGCAGTGTCTCCGGGGTGATGTTCAGAATGTGTTGCGAAATGCGTGCCTTTAATTCCGCTAAATTTGCAGTTGGAGCACGGAACACAACATCCTTAAGATATCCCACAGCCAGAAATCACACGGAGTAAGATCAGGCGATCGGGACGGCCAGGCTGTAGGGAAATGACGGCTGATAATTCGAGCATTTCCGAAATGGCGCCTCAGCAGCTGCTTCACGGGATGTGCAATGTGCGAAGGAGCGCCATCTTGCATAAAAATGATTTCATCCACACATCTACGTTGTTGCAGAGCTGGAATCACGTGGTTGCGCAAAATCGACGCATACCTCTGACCAGTGACGGTTGCGATAACAGGACCGGAAGCACCCGTCTGCTCGAAAAAATATGGTTGTAGGATGAACGTGCCGTAAAGCCACACCATACCGTGACCTTTTCAGGATGAAGTGGTACGGGGTGCGTTGCCAGTGGATTTTCTGTTGCCCATATTCGACAATTCTGGGTATTCACGTATCCTATCAGATGGAAATGGGCTTCATCTGTCCACACAATTTTCCACGGCCATTCATTATCCACTTCCATGCGAGCCAGGAATTCTAACGCAAACGTCTCCCTAGCTGTCAAGTCAGACGGAAGCAACTCCTGCACATGGCCAATTTTGTACGGATAGCATTGCAGGATGTTTCGTACAATTTTCAGCACCGCGCTCGTAGGCCTGTCCAATGTTCAGGCAATTTCTCGTGCACTGCACTGTTGCACACCACCGGCCGACCCCTCTTGTAATGCTGTGGCCACTTCTTCAACTACCGTCGAATGCACTCGTTTTCTCCCTCTACCAGATTGCACATCAAACGAACCTGTCGTTTTCGAATTTTTGCATTCATTTTCTTTAGACCTACGACACTCATTGGACCAACGCCTTCTTTTATACCCTTTCAGTGTCCTGAATTTTTGCAGAGCTACTCTTGCACAATCATCATTCTTGTAATACACAGCTTTACCAGCAGACGCGATCCTGCAGTGAAACACCCATGGCGAACGTCTGAGACGCGAAATGAGGAACAGCCTGGTACCTGGCGGCTTTATAACACTGAAATGTAACTAAAATTTTAATTTACGTCTTTTTCCGCTTGCAGTGCCATCTGTTGCTAACTTTTGAAACTAAATTTTTTCTTCTGCCATACGCTTTCCGCCTTCTTCAATAACATTCCTTTCAAATTTGACGTCAGTTTCATGAGTGGTTCTTTTTTTATAGCGTTTTGAAACTTAAACTTTAATTATAATCACCCTGTATATATTTTTGAATTTTTCATGATATTTTTTTCCATTATTTTAAAATTTACGTTATATATTCTATTATTATTTATACTTCTTTTATACTATTTCATCTGAATTTCTGGGGGTGAGGGAGAATTACAGTTCCTTCCTTTAAAAAATAGCTACATGCACTATTTTTCACACGTTTATTTGCTGTTGTTTGACTTATATCTCACAGTAACATCAGAATAAATCAACGAATTTTATCGTACGGATGTGCGCAGGATTGCATCTGTCATTGGCACTGGCCTTGGAAACCTTACAGATGACAATGTCCAGTTCAGTTCCACTCTTGAAGAAGAATCCTTCGTGAGACAGACACTTTTTCTTGAATCCGGGAAGTGATTCCGAGCACATTGGAATACAGGCTTTCTCGCAGTTGCCACTTCGCAAACCATAAATTAACTTCTGATCATTGAACTCCAAAATCCAACTGCTTCATGCAAATTCGCTAGGGAGTATGGTTATTTCTGTCTGAAAGCACTACACAGGCTTCTGCATTTGGACTTGTGCTGACACGTTTTATTTTCGGTGCTTTTATTTTTATAGTAACATGCATAACTTGTTAAATTACCAGTACCTAAATTTTCATATCATGAAATATGAAAGAAATTCAAATTCATCAGACAGTAAGGTGTGTTACAAAAATTAAAGCCATCAATTCTAGAAATAGTGCACAATCAAAGAGTACTACATGATTACGTAATACTTTAAGCCTACATCGCATTACGGGGTACTTTACTACAGACTTGAATTTTTTAATCACTTTAATCCATCCGAAATCTCATGAATGCATAACTGGAAGATAAGATTTCTCAGCTTTTTAGTCATTTGACGTCTGACATCTCAAGGATGCAAAAGGTTAAGGTTTTAGCGCCCTTGCTTTTGGTAACTTGTTTTATCTTTGTTCTTTCGTTCTTCGGGCATTTCACAAGATCCTTTCAATAACTTCACGCGCTTCTTCTGTAAAGGCAACTTTGCGAACCAAATCTGTAACAAGAAGAACGAGCGAAATCTTAGAGAAATTAAATTATTAACTTATTTAGAATGTATTATTTTTTAAAAAGGAATCCAGAATAAATAAATTTCGAAAAGATGAAATGAACTAAAAATATGGCTTTTATTACTCAAGCATATAGTCAATCCCGTTATAACGAACGGGCTTCATATCTTACGAAACCATACAGCTGCTCGACAGAACTCTATTCAAGTATAAATGCTTTCCAAAGTCGAATAGGGATTTTGCTTTTTTAGCTCTTTTGCAAGACATAAGACATTGTTTGCAAAGGTTATTAAATTTTTGGGTTGCAGCCATGACATGCCGTGGGGGAAATGATTGTATTCTGTCTGGACAACAGAGAGCGCACGTAGGGGACAAAATTACCTTTCTTTTTCCCATTTTGCAAAAGAGCAAAATTCTCACACATTTTTTTACCAAACTTTCTGCGCTCTGTTTATATGCCGAAAATTCATCCGCATTGCGAGTTGTAAACGTAAAGCTTACTAATTGAATTTATTTATAAACGTAAAGCTTACTAATTGAAGATAAGGTGAACATTATCCGAAAAACGCAAAATCGATGTAACCAAATCGATATCTCCCAGACATACCGTTAATTCAAATCGAAACCGTACGTACCAGATGAAAAAAATCAAAACTCTAATTTTCGCTTATGGGAAAACATTTGGGTACGAGAAAAAAAAAAGCTGAGTAACGTGAAGCATAGGGAATGTTGAAGAAACATCGCTGAAATGGTTCGCAAAGAATGAAAAATAATAACTGCAGTTAAATCTTCACATGAATTTTTTTAAATTAGATTATTATTGACTTCTTTTGATAGATGTGACAACGTTAATCAGTTTTTTTTCTTTATCACCCTTCAATTTTACACATTTTTGTATAATAATCCATTTGTATTATCGGATCGGACATAAAGAACCAAATTTCTGATTCCTGAAATTCGTTATAGCAGGGTTCGGCTGTAATGTACACTCATGTCCATAAATTAAGGATAATTCGGAGTCATGCGGAAATCGAACTCTAAAATAAATATATCACCTGTAAAATCACTACACACATCTTCAAGAATCGTGTGCAAATTTCAGGAAGTAACCAGATGACACAGATGGTACGTCACAATGACGAGAGTGTAAGAGAGTGATATATATCAGGAATACAGGCAAAGAAGTAAAATTGTTCGCAGGCGCTTTATAAGCATTTCAGTGCAATAACCGAATAGTTATGACACAAAAGGACGCATTTGGATGATTTTTTACGTGGTAGAATTATCGGCGTCTGAATGTGGGCGTACCCAACTGGAAGTATCAGACGAACTTGGAATTGCCCAGAGTGTCTTCTCCAGGCTTTGGCACGATTCCAAGATGATGGTAATGTGAGTAGACGTTAGAGCACAGGTCGCCCCAGAGTTACAACGCCGAATGAGGACCGGTATTTGGCAGTTACTGCCAAAAGAAACAGGCGGAGCACAGCCTCAGACCTGCTTCGTCAGCTCTCTTCAGCCACTGGTACGACAATTTCAAGGCAGACCGTGTATATATTCAAGGCAGACCGTGTTAAAGGCAGACCGTGACGCTTAGGGCAGATTGGTCTATATGCTCGTAGACCTGTCAGATGCGTTCCACTTACTGCAACTCACTGTCGCCTGCGGTTAGCCTGGAGTAGAGAGCATGCATTGTGGACACCGCAACAGTGGGCTTGTGTGATGTTTTCCGACGAGTCCAGGTTTAGCTTGCAGTCTGATTCTCGCCGGACTTTCATATGGAGAGCTCCAGATACCCGTTACCACCAAGAAAACATCATTGAACGACACCGTTACGGTGGTGCAGGAGTGCTCGTTTGGGGTGGAATTATTCTGGGTTTCCAGAATTGACCTGCATGTTTCAAATTGGAACCATGACAAGCCAATCTATCGGGACGTCATTCTGGAACAACATGTACGTTTGTTTCGGGGCGCCATGGGCGCACAATTGTGTTTTATGGATGACAACGCCCGTCCTCACCGTGCAAACATCGTAAGCGAATGCCTTCAATCGGAGGATATCACCCGTATGGACTGGCCAGCATTCTCACCGGACTTGAATCCAGTAGAAGCACGTGTGGGACATGCTTGGCCGACGAGTTGCAGCCCGTCAACCTCCTCCTACATGTCTACCGGAACTTCGGAGAGCATTGCTTTTTGAGTGAGTGTGGTAATATCCCCCAAGATCAGATCGATAATTTGATACTCAGCATGCCTAGGCGTTGTACGGACTGTATTGCATCGTCTGGGGATGGGAGACATACAATGTATTAACAATCATACCAACCATGTAATATTAGTTTTTTGTAAATAGGTTTTTTTTTTTTGTTTTTTTTTTGTAATTTGCTCCAGGGAGGAAGAAAAAATCGCTAATTTTTTTAATAATATCAAACATATAACATCTTTTTTTGCTCTTTACCTTTTGTTTAATAAATAAGCTTTACAAATAAGTCAAATTTGTTTTGCTTCTAACTCTTCCTTTCCCTGATTTTGCATTATCCTTAATTTATGGACATGAGTGTACTTCATCACTTAAAAAACTCGATATTTCTTTTAGACTTGGAAAAAACGTTTTATATAGAATTAATTAGTTTTCTTCCGTGTAAGAAAGACCATAACCGAAAGCATGTCAAGAAAGATTTATTCGTGTTTTAGGGCAGAAAGAGATGGAATGCTACTGAGATTTTACCTTTTCATATTGATGCATGTTTACAAAGCAGATTACTCTACTCTGAAAATGGACTAATACTTTTTACACATGCACTGGAGGTCAGAGAGTTTAGGTTTCTATTGACAGTACTAGACGCCAAAAATTTAATTCATACAAAAAATTATATTATATTAACTGGACGCCTCTGGAGTTGGTCCAAGGCATCAGCCAAACGAAGTTTTGATGCCAATCTGTGGATCTATAACCTATAAATAAGTAGGTTTAAGTAATTCTTACCATGCAAATATAAGTACATATATTTAACAATTAAAAAATCTAAATTACCTTTTTAAAATTATGTAAAAATCAACACCATATTGACGTTAGGATTAGGTTACGTTTTACATTCTTTAGATTAACAGATTCTCCTCGTTATTAACAAATTCTGCTGCGAGGTAGGAGGTCACCCAATGATCAATCGTTTTAATATTTTTGACAATGTTACGTTGTATTCCACAGGACAACACTAATGGTATGCCAAGTCATGATTTAAGTAACATTTTACAACATAAAAGCTAGTAATCTTTTCAATTGATTTCATTTTTTAAATCGCAAATTAAGCACTAATAATTTGTGAATTTCTAATCTTAATTGAAGCAATTGCAATCACACAGCGTTGATATTTCCCAGATTAAAAAAAAAAAAAAAAACTATGGTAAGGATTTCAGACAGAATTTTTCACACGTTGTTTGCTGTATTCGATATAAAATAATATCATAAAATTTAATACTTTATTTATCACAGCTGGCTTTATGTCTAAAAAAAAATCTAACATCATATATACTTCTTTGGTACAAATGTTCTTACACTGCTGTGGCCATGCCCATGACCCTAAATATCATGATGAGTGAAAAAAAGGTAAAGGTATGTTTGCAAGTGAACTAACTGGAAACTATCAAATGCCAGGACAGGAAGAATTAATTCTGAAAGGCGCTATTTCCCTTCGCCCCCCATTAGATTATTCACGAGTTTGACGATGTAGTTATGATCTAGGTCAGAGATTCTCAGTTCTTTTCTTGCATCGACCCCTTTAAAAAGACTGATTGTCTTTACCGATCACCTTACATTTTTCTCTGTAATACACAGTATAAATATAAAATATGTTATAAGAGAAAATACAATTCTTTCCAATGAACAATCGTATTAAGTTATCAAAATGAGACTTCTTTCTGATTTTTGTCGATATAAACAAATCTATTTTAGAACCGAAATCGACGATAATCTTTCTAGTTTCGATGAGATAAACGTTTTTCCATCGCACTTTGTTCTGTGCGGCGATGAATATATATCAACCAAGCAAAATATGTATTTTTTGAATTTCATCAATGTGTCGCCGTAGGGTTGTCAGCTTCAAGGAGATTCTACCCCGGTAATAAATTGACTATAAAACGCTGCAATTTTTTTACCCTTGGAGAACAGGCGTACTTTTGTGTGAAGAAACACATTTTTGTAACTTTGATGAAAGTTGCTGTCACACAGTTACGCGAAAAGACAGTCATTCAAAGCTCTAATTTTCACAGTATTTATTACTTTGATGTAGAGTTTTAAAACAACATGAAGCTCTTCCTGAATATTTTTCACAAATAAATTATGCCTCTGCAAAAAAACAATGAACAGGCCAAACGTTAGGCATCTTATTTTTGAGATGCTCTAAAATGCCTAGACATTTTTCAACCATTTCTGGTATAGTGTTACAATAAGCTGCAGTAATATTGGACAGGGTGAAATGTCATACTGCTGAAAAAAGTTTTTAAAACAATGAAATATATCTTCTCATCTTTTGTATTTTCGAGTTTTGAGCTAGAAATTTCCTTTATTATTTCTTCTTTAGCATCACTATATTAACGACATACATCATTAAAATACTCTTCCTTCCGAAAGTCGATTTCATTCAGCTGTACGACAAATTTATTAAACTCTTAACTCAGAGATGATTTGTTGTTCGATAGTTTCGGCTGTTTCAATCTTGAATTGACGTTCAACTGCATTGCTATCGAGCGGCAGGCTTTTTACAGTTGGACACTTGTTCATTTTCATAATTGTAGGTATTACTTCTCGAACTAATGGTAATAATAAATTTTCACAAACTCCGTAGAGGTACCCTTCTTTTGAAATTAAACAGGAAATGCTATATGAAGCTTAAATTCCTTCTTGTAACTCTTAGACGTTCATGGTGCCGAAAATAATTTCTTTCTTTGATTTAACTATTTATGCCCTTTGATTATTAAATAAAAAATTATTTTTGAAATTTCAAGTACTCCAAATTATTTTTATTATCTGCATACATTACTGTTAAATCTTTCATTTTTGACGATTTCATTGCCTCGTTATTATTTTATTTTCTCGAAATATTATACGAAATAAAGCCAAGCATTAAACACTATTCAGAATTTGTTGACGTTTTCGTTTTTCATATAACATCGGTAATTTCTTAGAAACTATAAACTTAAATGTCGAATTTAAAAATGGTAGTATTAAAATTGATTTACCTCTCTTATAATCACACATGCATTTGTACAGTAAACACTACAACTACAAATACACTGTGAATATCATTATATTGCTGTTCTGTTATCGCTGGTATCCCTTCTACTATATCCTTTCTTTTTTTAAATCAGCAGCAGTTTCCACAATGGACGTGGTAAACACGGTGCAAAGATTTCTTCTCTTGCGGTTGTCTATTTTCAGTTTAAAATGCAGAAGAAATAAGGCAAGCAAATATTGTTTGGTCTCTCATAACATTGCCAACTTAGTTTAATTTGTAAAAATGATTTTTAAACATTCAGTAATTCAATACTTAAATAGCTTGGTATCTGCCTACGTTAAAAAAACGATTTCGGCGAAAAAATTCGATTTTTTTTAATTGCCCAATTTGAAAGGTCATTTGTAGGATTCCGAAAAATGGTTCATTTTACGTTTGTGATATTAGAAGAGAGATATAGCCAATTAACTGAACTGGAAGTGAAAGCAGAAAGACCGGAAGTGCCATTTAAAAGGCTCAACTTAAAGGTAAAAATGTTTATCGTGTTTTTTTTTTACCTGTTTGTGTGTAAAAATTGTGCTAAAACATTCATTTTAATTCTGGGTACTTTTTTGTTTCTAGTAATAATTATTGCCTTAATTTTTTTGAACTAGGTCTGGCAATTGCGATTAGGTATAAAGACTAAGGTGCTGGGGCATATAAGCAGTTTTAATTTTAATTCAGGGTATCTTGGATTACTTCCTGTGTTTGAACATTTAGGCATATCAATTGAACAAGAAATGATAAAAATTACTTTGGATTTGATAACGAAAGAATAAAGAACTCGAAACGTCATTCATCGCTCATTTCGAAAATAGCCAGAAAAAAATTAAAATCAAATAGGAAATCAAATTACTTAACTATAGAGATATGAAGGGTGGTTATGTACAAATGTGGAGAATTTTAAGTGTGTGTGTGAAATGCAACAGAACAGTTTTTTGTTAATGTGAAATCTTTAAATGCGTTTTCTGGAAAACTAATTTTTCTAGTGTTTTTACATACAAGAAATGTAATTACTCAAAATGTTTAAAGGTATCTCTATTAAATTTTACTAAAAGTGTTTTCTATATTATTTACTAGGTTTTTTAAGCTACAATCTAAGTTATATTTATTAATTGATTGTTTTATAAATATTTCTATATAAAAACGATAAGAAAATTTTACAAAAAACTGCGTTTTTTTTCATGTAATTACACATATTTTAGTAAATTTAGAAATATCATAAACATTTTAGTTCATAACACAGATGAGTGTTGTAGTAATATACAGTATAAATAAAATTGAAATATATGCTGTGGGGGAAAATATACATTTAACATAAGTGGTAAATTCTCCTAAAAATGTGCATAAAATTGCATATATTTCAAAAATTTATGAAAATATTCCTAAAAATTTACCTATTTTCATGATTTGATATCATATATTGACTAAATAAATATATATTTCATCAGAATTCTATGTTTTAAAAAAAAAGTGCTCCGAACGTAGGCAGATACCTTAGCTTATTCTTTGAAAATCTTTGGCATCTCAGTAGGAGGCAGTAGCAGTAAAATATGGTTTGTTTTCTAAAGTACAGTTTATATTAATATTAGATAAAAAGAAATTTTATAGCGGGGTGCTTTCAAAATTTTTTTCTTCAAATGGCAGCATTTAATTAATTTGAAATCGGTTGGCATTGACAAAATATTTTCTCTCATGATTATTAATTAATAAAACCTTTTGTAAGAATTATGTTAATTTTATTTAACAGTTAAATTTTAAGTTTTTGAATTTTAAGTTCCTTTCCAGTCAAATTCTTAACTTCAACTTACTACTTCCGGCCAGAACGTACTTTTGGAATCTTGCTGAATATTTAATGCGAAGAAGCGGTATTTAAACCACGAAGTTACTTACTGAGACAGAGAGAGAATCAGAGTTTCTGAATTACGCGCGTCTGCCTTTTTGTCCGCTCTCTCTATCAAAGCTGTTTTTACGCTCGGCCGTACTCAGGCCCTTGTTAAGCTTCGTAGTAAAATAAGTTAAGGGGCCAACTCTAATTGAACCTTGATAGCTTTTTTTGTTATACTTATTTAGTTAATCTTAGTTTTAGTTTAATTCTTAGTCTTTTAAGTTCAAGTCCAAAGTGCGGGCTTTACTTGTACACTCCCAGGCGGAGTTTTGTTAAATCTTATCGAAATAATAAAGGGTTAGTTACCCTTTTTCTTGTTGTTTCTTGTCATCGAACTCTAGCAATTATTCGCTTATCAGTTCTTAGATTTCTCACTTCCAACATTAACTTAGAATTCCAAAGTGAGGTGTTACTCTACACTTTAATAATGTTAATAATTTAATAAATTGATAAAGCCTTTAAAATAACCACGGAAACATTGGTTTCATCCAATATTAAACCTCTTTTTCTCTTCTTTAAAATTGCTTAAGTCTGTGCAAGTTAAACTGTTAAACTGTCAGGTAACTTTCTCATTATCAGTAAAGTTCGTTATTTGGTTCTTAATACCATCCTTGATCGTAATTCTTGGGGAATTTATAGCATTTTCTATCAGTATGGTTTGACATGTAACGACTAAAATAGAGTTAAAATTTTGCATCAAAGAACAAGAATCCTACATTTGAAAAGGAAAAATAAAACAAATTATTTTAATAGCTTATCTTAGTTGGTTATCCCGTTATAATTTTGAACAATTTTGTCAATCATAATTTCATTATTGCGAAAATTATACAAACCCCCTGCAGTTGTGCAATTTTCTTGAAGCTTTCCTTTTTCGTAAAAATTTACCTACTTTAGTTAATAACATAAATTCCGATTAAGTTCTTCCCAATGCTTTCAAAATTCTAATACCTTCGCCTTTTCACGTCTCATAAGTGTTTTCCTCGATAAACTTTACCACGTGCATTTTAGCTTTGCTAAACCCATTAATTTTCCTATAAATTTGGTTTTTTTGCCCTCATCTTTCCAAAATTTTTTGCTCTTGAAGAAGAGGCGGCATATTGAATCCTTCTTTGAATCGACAGAGTTTTATCGAAAATCACCACCAGTTTAAGGTTGCTTTTCTGCCTAATTAAATTTTTTACATTGATATATTTCTCTTCCAATAAGGTATAGTTTAAAATGAAAAAATCAATACAACAGTAAATACGTGCAACATAGAAAAAAACATACTTTGTACTCTTCATTCTCTTCAGGAGAAATCGGAATAAAGTCAGAAAGAAAATAAATAAATTCAGAAGCAAAGAGAGGTATTTTCTTTTGATGAGCCAATCTGCGATCAGTCAGGACCTAATAAACAGTAACAGCAAAAAACTTATATTTATACATTAAAAGCTTAAAGAAAAGATTTTTTTTTTCTTTATGAGAAAATGTCTGATTTTATAAGTATTTATGTGACAAAATTCAGTACATTACATTGCTACCGATTTTCTTTACAGATTTTATAAAGAAATTATTAACTGAAATACAAGGGGTGATCAAATAAAAAGGTACGAAACGACACGGTGGGTACAAATGTAGACTTTATTCAAAATATACACCATAGGCCTGAGCACAACGATCCCACTGATGAACAAGCCGCAGGATTCCTTGTTCCCCAGAATTCTTGTGGCTGTGACGAGACCCAGTCCTTCACAGCGTCCTTGAGTATGTCGTCCGAGTTGAAGCGCTTCCCTTTCACGTGTTTCTTCAGTGCACCAAACACATGGAAATCGCAGGGCGACATGTCCGGACTGTAGGGCGGATGGTCTCCCACTTGAACTTGGCCAGTTCCATGTGTGTGACTCTGGAGACGTGTGGACGCGCATTATCATGAAGCAGAACCACACCCTCCGTGAGCAGCCACGGTCTTTTGTTCTTGATGGACCTGCGTAGGCGTCGAAGTGTCTCACAGTACGCATCGGAGTTAATGGTTTTTCTGTACACCAGAAATTTCACAAGTAGCGGACCTTGAACGTCGAAAAAGACGATGAGCAACACCTTACCTGCTGATGGCACGGCTTTTAGGCAACATTTTAGGGGGAGGTGACGACGCATGCTTCCACTGCATGCTGTCCCGCTTTGTCTCTGGCTCGTAGTGATGGCACCATGTTTCATCACCTGTGACGATCCGCTCCATGAAAGCGGGGTCCTTCCTGATTACCGAAACAAATGTTGCAGTAGCCCCATGCGCAGTTCCTTTTGCTGGTCGGTGAGCTGCTTCGGAACCCAAGCGGCACTCACCTTCCGATATCGCAACCTGTCGTGAACAATTGTCCACGCGGTTCCATAGCTGACATCCACCTTCACCATTCGCAATGTCACATTTGTCACATTCGCAATGTGACACGCCGATCACTTCTCACTAGGTCGTCCACCTTGTCGAAATCGCTCGTGATGATAGTGTTTGCCTGGCCTGGTCTCGGATCATCACCCACAATCTCACAGCCTGCACGAAAACGGGCACTCTATTTTCTGACAGACTTGTCAGAGACACATTTCTCCCCCGTAAACTGTCACCATCCGGCGATGTATAGCTGCTAGTTTCTCACCTTTCGCTGTCAGAAATCGGATAACATCTCGCTGCTCCTCAGTCGTCGAATTTTGCAACGCGAACGCCATCCTGTCCTCATACGGACTGCCGCATCGTTTGGACGTCGATTTTGATAAGAGCTCTGCTCTCTCCTGCGCATGCTGGCGCCCGCGCATGCTCCGATACCAGTCAGAGATTCCAATCGCATCCCAAGATGTCTCGCTACGTTCTCCCATGGCAGAATGTGCAAATATTTAACTTTTACGTTTTTACGTCGTTTCGTACCTTTTCATTTGATCACCTCTTGTATAAAGACTAAATTCTTAATTATGTAAAAACAGATCAATTTTTTGAGAAACTCTTTGTGTCCTTCTTTTTTTCCCTGCCCTTTTTAAGAATCTACCATTAGAAGAAATCCTCTTTTCGGTGCTTAAATTGTCAAAATAAACTGTTGGCCATCCAAATATGCAAAACTATGAAGGAAGTACCCAAACATCATGTAACTTCCATCACGTGCAAACCACTATGCAATATGCAAATGATTACGATTTCAGCATATGCGCACATAATGGGCGACTGCAGCGCTCCTTGCAGTCCGTATATACAGGAAGGACAGATTGCCGTTTTGAATAACGTGAATTTTTCTATCGTTAGATTTTTTGTGTGTGCAGCTTTAGTATGCTTCGTAGAAAAACAAGACATTGTTCAAATAAGTTTTTGAGTTCGACGGCGGTAGAATCGTTGCAATTATCCTTCCGGGAAATCGGTTGTGGTGTCACACTTAGCCAAGCAATAGTCATGCGAATATAGAATCGGGTGTAAGCAATCAATTAGGGAATGGCGGATGGATAAGAGGAATTGCAACCGCCTCTACTTACCACTCCACCGAAAGACAGGTATATTGTGAGCATGGCACTGACTGGAGCGCACTGGCACATCATTAATCACATGAGAACGAATACAATCTGTAACACAACAATCGGCAACCAGCAATTCAATATCATTTACAGAACAATGGACTGTCTGCTAGGCATTCATTGCTTCGCTTACCTTTAAACCATAGGCGTTTGCGTTTGCTGTGGTGCAGTGAACGGCAGGAGATGAACATTCCAGTGGCATGACATTACGTTTTCGAACGAATCACGCTTCTGCCTGCAATACAGGCTATGGTTGAATTAGTGTCTGAAGATATTGTAGAGACAAATTGCTCGACTTTTGTGTTATGGGTCCTGCACCCATGTTATGGTGTGTTGGATGGTACAGGATTCCATTCGCGTAGCCCCCTATAGTGCGCATTCACTCTTACCAGCCAACGCTATATCTCTGAGGTTTTGCATGCTGTGTCCTTCCTTACCTTCAGGGCTTACTTGCGGCCCCATTTCAACAGGACAATTTACCAGAATGCTCAACGACCACAGGTTGCCCACAATGCTCAAGCTTTCTTCTTAGCCCACCATATTGCACTGATATTCTGCCGGCACGTTCTCCAGATTTGTTGCCCATCGGACATGTCTGGACAATGACAAGAAAACGTTTAACCCAACAAATCGCACACACGAGTATGAGGCAGCACGGGCTGTCAATCGCCAACAATATATCCAGAGCCTCTTTCAGTCAATCCCGCGACGTGTAACAAACGATTATTGGCAAATATAGGTCAGCACTCATTATCGAATTTCTCGTCTTCATCGCCTCGTAGAAGACTGTATTTCAAATCAATTAACATTAATACTATGCGTAATCTCTGAAATAAATTTGGCTTTGATATCTCTTGTCCTTCTTCGAGCTGCATTTTGATGGCCAGTAGCGTATATGCGATCTGTCAACAAGTGAACAAGATTTGCAATTAAAATGGGAAGTCTAATTAAATGCGAAATTAGATACTCAAAATTATATCATAAATTCTCTTCCCAACAAAACAAGCTAGTAATGCTAACTGTCAATCAAAAGATATGTATATATAAATTTAAATAAAATACATTGTACATTGGTTAGCTCAGAAACATGCTATTAAACAACATGCTTTTACATTACTCGGGAAATAAACCTCTGAAGAAAATGTAAAATCATTTAATTTTTTTTTTTTCAAAAATATTCTTTTCTAGAATTTATAAAGTCAGTCTTTGCACAATTTCATTTTGTTCTTTGATGTATCTGAATTTTTGTAAATTTGCTATCAGTTTTGATTTTGACGACAAAATTATTTAAGGTTTTAAATTTTTTTCACTTATATTAATATTATGTAGCGATTGTTTATGCTATTTTGAAAGAATTTCCGTCTTTTCTCCTATTCGTTGTACCTAAATATAATTTTTGAGCTTACTTTTAATTAAGAATTTTAATTATATGTATATGTTTGTGTGAGTGTGTGAGACAAAAAATAAGTAAATCGAAATTATAACTTATACTAGCAATAGTCCGTTAATTCTTTACTTTAATCTAAATATTTCTCTTCTCCATTCTAAAAAAAGTAACAAGTTATTCTGGATTGTGTCATTTTGAGACTAATCCATATTATATGACTTTAACATAACGATAATGATGTAGCTAATTCGGAATTGAAATTTTCGGACCCGAATCCAATTCTCATAATAAGCGGCCATATTGGATAACTACGCACTTTGCTTCTATCTCTGTTCGCGCTAAGACTTTGCCTCGCTGCTTTCTTATTATCTCAAGAATATCAGATGTATAAATGTTTTTGAAAAGGCAGAATTAGTGTTCCAGTTTGTCTGTGGCCGCAAAATGTTTATTGAATTAAAAATGAATATTTAATCTGCCTCGACTGCGAAGTCTTCTGTCCATTATGGATAACATCTATGAAAGACAATATTTCTACATATACGCAATCAACAGTCCTACGTCATTATAAATATGTCTGCTATATATAGAGTGAGATAGATAGATATAATGTAATATATACATACATGTAAAATGTAATAATTCAGTAGATTATGAAAATCAACTGCGTGACTACTAAGATGAGAGATCGGAGAAGAAAAGCTTTCAGATTGTAGAAATCGGAGAAGATAAGCTTTCAGATGGTAGCCGCTGGTTTGAACACTTAATTTTATTTTCGTAATAGAACAAGCTTTGATACGCATAAAAAGATTTACCCAGCATCATTTATGGACTGCGTGATGGATCCCACAATTTTGTATATCTTACATTCTTTAAAAAATGGAAGAAGCGAAGGAACAACGACGCATGTTTAGCACGAAGCAAGGCGGAGCAAGAGGGGAAAATGCTGCACAGTAGTAGCAGTGGTATTTATAGATTTGATTTCTTTGTTTAAATTTTAGATCTGTGAATGGATACGAGCTGTCGCAATGCAGAAGGATTACATAAACGAGCATGAACGGAAAGACGTAATCCAGTAAAATTATTATAAAAAATGTAGAACAGAAAGTGGTGATATCTAAATGAGTAATTAAAAAGACTATTGACAAATTAAAGTTAATAATTTTGAATTACATATTTTAAATATGTAAGGCATAAAGCTTATTGTATTTCGAAAATAAAATTATGTATTTAAATCAGCGGCCACGTCTGAAAGCTTTTCTTTTTCGGTCTCTGATTTTACTACCATACAAATGTTTCTTGAATTCTCAAGTTATCTACTGAATTATTACATACATACAGGTCATAATGTGGGTAAAATTTAATTAATGAATACCATTATGCTGTGTACTATTCTGCAAGATTAATTAATTAAAAAAGAAAAAGATAAATATAATTAATATCAACCTTAAGTGGTAAATTTTCTAACAAGAAAGCACAAATTAAAACAATTGAAAAAAAAAAAGACTTGGAAAACAAAACTGAAATAAAGGTAAATTCATAAAAAAATTTAAATTAAAAAATAGTTAATTATTCTTTGGTCTTTGTTACAGAACAAAGGAAAGAATCATCAGCAGAACCCAGTTTCTAAATTACATCTGGCTGAATTATTAGAAAATTTACCACTTCAGGTCCATATTAATTATATTATTAATTTTTCTTTCTTATCTATATCTATCTATCTATATCTATCTATATCTATATCTATATCTATATCTATATATATATATAAACTTCGGATACTGAAATGCGGATTATACATTGATTCTACATGAATACTATATGAAACCGTGGAAAACGTAAAAGGAAGTGAAATGAGTACAATTAATGTTTAATTTTATTATACCTTTTCTATGGCATATATCAAATGAGGAGCTGTGAAACCTTCAGATGCCTCACACAGAGCACTCAAGTTTAACTGTGGGCCAATTATGCATTGTTTGTTTAAAATCATTTCCCTCCACAATGCTAGAAAATTTATAATATTATAAAATAAAAGTTGAAGCTTATAAAATTCAGCAACATTAAACAAAAATCTAAAAAACATTAGTATTATAAGAAACATTAGTATAAGAAACAATAGTATCAGAAACATTAATATTTTTAAAATTCAGTTATTATTGACATAAAAAACTTACATCTCGAATAATTTTTCCTAATTAATGGAGATAGAAAATTACAGTTAATTTCCATTTTTGTGTTTCAGGTAAGCAATGAAAAGAAAGATTTTAGAATAAAATTTTACATTATAAATGAGTGAATAATTTGCAGCAATTTTTACAGTGAAAACATTTAAGGTAACCATGCTACTTTATATCACATACATGCAAATTATTTTACTTTTGCAATTTCATCAGAAGAATTATATTTAAATGAAAATATCATGGATAATCAGAAAAAAAGTCAAAACTCACATTTTACTGAAATGTTTTGCTTTAAATTTAATTACATTGTTAGACCTGCAATGGTTATTCAATCAGGCTTTAAAAAATTCTTTTTGGTATGCATAAAAATGCATTACATGTGTTAGAAGTAAAACAGTGGGTGGAAAACTAAAAGCTGTAACCTAACTGCATTTGCAGCTGGTAATAGTAATTTTGATTGTCGTATATTTCGACATGTTATGAAGAGATTAAATTATTGTGAAAAACACTGAGTAACTGGATGAATAGATTCTGGATATAAAAATCAGGCGGATATATATTCAGAGTGCTAGTTATATACCCAAATTGTCTTCTTGAGATTGTGGAAACAGTTTTAAGTAGATGGAGAATGTTTTAGAGCTGAGTTAAAACAAAGGCATCCATGGGCTGCAACCACACTGGAAGACAGTTTCATACTTTCAAGGGGCCCACCAGCGGCCGAGCGGTAAAGTCGCTGAACACTGGTAGTTCGGTCCGAGGTTCGAATCCCGTGAACGGACTGGCTGCATGGGTGTTTTCGTGGTTTTCCCCATGTGTAACGTGTATACGAGCCAGAAAAAATTATTCCCTTAGAAAGTCCTCCACGAAGGCATCCCTCCCCTTAGGCAGATAGCCCTAGTGTGCTTTGCCATAATTAAATACACCACACACCACACCATACTTTCAAGAGTGAAACGAAACAGGCAAATAAGAGGCTATTAACGGGCCACAACCACTTTGGAGAACTGTTTTATGGCTTTAGCAGTACAGCAAAACAGGAGGATGACAGCACAACAGATTTCTTGCAAGTTTCTTACATCAGCAGAGACGATACTACATACTATAAGATACTATAAGAAGCTTCTATGAAATAATGTCCTTGATTGATGTTCCTCTTTATTTAGCCGCAAAATGTATCATTTAAAATGACATAGAGATAATCATAATTCCAATTCTATGTAGAGTTGAGTTCTGTTTATGGATGACTTCACATTTCACCTGAAGAACAATTCTAGAGGCAAAATTAACTGGAGAACTCAAGATAAGACATACCACTAGCAACAGTCTAAGAGATAACACCTAAATTAATAATAAATCGATGTATTATCTTACCCGTGTAAAACTGCACAGTAAGCATTGGAAACTGTCCAAGTTTCTCATATGCCACTTGCTGTTTGCTTGTCATGTTTACTGCGCAGCCGCAGCAACAGGTAAAGGCTTTCTATGTGCCCTATTTTGAGGTGTCCAGATCTGTGGCTTCGGTGCAGTGTGAGTTTCATGCACGTTTGCGGAGCAGTGTTCGGCGAGAAAGTGGTCGGCCCATTTTCCTTCGAACAGAAAATTGTGATCGGTGAGTCATATCTAGATATGTTGAAAGCCTGGTTGTTACCCTAATTGAACACCAATCATTTTGCCAGTGGACGGTGCTCCGCCCCATTTTCGCAGGAATGTACGAGAGCTTCTTAATCGTGTTCTTCAGCAACGCTGGACTGAACATGCTTGCAAGAGCAGATAATAACCTTCTTCCCTGGCTACCCCGTTTGCCGGACTATGCGATTTCTTTCTTTGGGGGTTTATTAAAGACCGACTCTATATACCCCCAATGCTCGTGTCCCTTGAGGAAGTTTGTGGTCGGATAAAGCATGCACTGCAGATCTTGAAGGCGAACATGCTATAGCGAGCATGAAAAGCATTTGATTAACGAGTAGATGTGTGACGTGTGACTAAAAGTGCTGAATGTTGAAGAATTGTAATTAATGCGACAAAAACTCGGACAGTTGCCGCTGTTTATGCTGTTAGTCTTGCCCATATAACACACATCGATTTATTATTAATTTTTAAAACCGCACCGTTCATTTATAAACACGCTGTAAATCTACAGATTTTTAGCATGATTTAAAATGGGAAAATGTCAATCGGCTGTTCAAACTCGCACATCTTTCAGAGTGATTCTTTAAATAAATTGAAATCTAGTGAATAGATATGGACTTTAACAACACAGACTGAGATGATTACCTCATTTTCACAAATTTCACTTTATTAAAAGGATTTCTTTTTAATCTTGGTTTGGAATATTCTTGATAGATATTAGTTTTCATTTTCATATACACAAAATTGTGACTCAGAAGCAAAAGAAAGGTATTTGCTTTTTTTTTTTAAATACACAAGGTAAAAAATCAAAGTTGTAATGGAAATAAGAAGTGTCCATAATTCCTAAATTTTCACATAAAGCTGATTTTAAAATATGATTATAAAAATGAAACAATACACATGAGCAGAAATATATTATTTAAAAAAGATAAAATCCATTACAAAGCATATAAAATTAGAGGCAACTGTTATACATCATTCCTTAACTAAACAAGCCCACCAACAGCTCACTTCAGCTGACTTGCAAGACAATTAAATACATATCTGGATTTAAATCCCGGGGAATGGATTTTTTTCATGGTTTTTCCCATATACAACATGAATGTAAGCCAGTTTCACTTAGAAAGTTCTCCATAGAAGCATTTACCTCCTTACACATTTAGACCCAGTGTGTTTGCCATAATCCAAATAATTCAGTCCAATCCAACACGCAATTACACAGCAAATAGTATCCTTTTGACATTGTACGGAAATTGCATATTTTTCAAATGACAATTTCTTGATGAAATAAGACAAAAATTCCTTTTGCACATACAAAGCCGTCCACTTTTCATGTTTCATTACTGAGAAATACTTCCTGGGGAAGACAAATATGATATTTTACATCAGATCTATTCAGTTTTCCGGTTAATGTGAATAATGTGTTTCTATTCAATTCTCCACGTAATATTTATATTAAACCTATTCAGTTTATGTAAGACTTTTGATAACAAATATAAACAAAAGGCTTTAAGATGAGCTGAAACTTTCATTTATTTAATATTTTTACAAAATATTCCTTTATATTATATAATTTCTGATCTGATAACTTTCATTTCATTTATTTATTTTATTTCATTAACATTTCATTTAATTAACACTTCATTTTCATTTATTTACTTCATAAATAGATTTAAAAATTGAATTCATAATTGCAGTTTATTGCTACTCTGAAGACAATGCTAATTTTGACTAAAACTGCATTTATTCTTGTTTTTATCTTTTTTACAACTAAACATTTACAATTTTACACCGCATAAAACGTATTTATAGAATTACATATCATTTAATGGTGAAACACCTGAGGGTTATCAACCTAAACGTAACAATTTCACAAAGATATATATGTTTGTGGAAGACATTCTAATGAAAGCTACCGTGCGTTTTATATCACACGCGGGGAAAAGGATTTAAGCCACTGTAAACGAAATCTAGAGAGCAAATTAAAAATGTTTTGTAGCCTTAATAAATATATGCACAAGAGATAATAATAATATTTTGGTTTATCTTTCTTCAGCGTATATTGGTATTAAAAGTTCTTGCTTCAACCTCATACCACATATGATTAATTCAAATAAACATCTTTTAATGATAATATAAAAAACTGCATAAAAAATTTTATAAAAATTAACAAATTTCCCTGAATAACTAGTCTGTAATCTCATTTTTACATAATGAATTTTCAAAATAAATATCAAGATGATTTATTGAAGAAGAAGAAACATAGCTATGATGCAAATATAAATTATCTAATCGTAATCCTTCAATAAAGTTTTAACAGAAGAACATAACAACTCATATATAATATAACAAACTAATATTATATATATTAATTTAATTATTATATATATTATATATTAATATTGTTAAATATATATATATATATATATATATATATTTAACGAAAAAAAAAGTAATTTCAGTTACCAAAGAGGTCAAAGTATTATATTCATCCTATTTGATTGTGCTTCTTATAGAAAAACTTCATATCAAGTTTCATATATACAAGACTCTTTACTTGAAAACACTCTAAAACTAGATAGGTATTTTATAATTGCAGCCATATTGTATTCTAATATGGTGTATAACTAAATTTGCTATGTTGAAGTTTTAGCGGAGCAACAGTTTTTTAGCAACTTTTTAGCATGCGTACTAAAATTTATCTTCTTATATATATGTACATACTTGATTATGTATATATATAAGAAAAGATGTTTCTAATATGGCGCAAGTAAACCTTATACTGAAAAATGAAACTCACCTCTCCTACAGTTGTGATCAGGTTTAAGGAAACAAATAACTTTATTATAGCATGCACACAATCCTTTCACATCAGCGTCAAATGGCATAACAGTAGTACCACAAATGAGAATTCTGTCTTCATTGCCAATTCCTTTTATGAATTTTAGTAATTCTTTTTTCAGACGAATTGCTTCAGCCTTGTGTATATACATAAAATTACACGCTCGTTTAAACATTAAAAAACGATAAATAAAAGAAGGAAAATTTTAATTATGTAACAGTTATAAATAAGAATGATGCCATATGAAAATAAAGAATATAAATTCAAATAAATGGTTTTGCAAAACTTGATTTTTTTTTAATAAATTAACAAACTCCTTAAATTTGGATAGATTTCTAAAAATACATACACACATCCAGGTTACAGAAATTATGATAAGTTTTTAATTATACTGGATATATTTTATAAATGAATTTCATAAGCTCCAATAATGAAAAACATGGAATCCAGCATAAATTATATAGTAAATTTAAAAGAAACTAGTTTACAGGAATAATTTCTGCCACGGTAGATCAAATCTACTTTAAAATATTATTTAACATTCTATTTAGATTAGTTCATTTCAAATTATTTCTAGTTCTAAATATTTTGGTATAAGAAGAATTTATCTATGTAAATGGATTTAAATTAATTTTAATCATAAACCTGATTAATTTCATTCTATTCTAGTTCAAACACAAACTGCAATGATTTAATTATTTTAAAAACAAAAACAAAAAAGTCTAATCTAGAAACATGAAACTTATGTGCAATGAATAATAAATCTTTCCTAAGTATATTATAATTCAACAAGAATACTTTAAGCTTTAATTTTTTTTAATGCAAATAGCTTTAATATATTTTTTCATGCAATGAACTGATTATGTGCTATAAAACTGAAATTATCTAAATTAATTACTCTTCATTTTGCACAATTAAATATTTCTAAACTTTCTGCTGTAGTGTAATAGTAATTAATTCATTTACATATATACAGTGCTTTAACTAGCAAAAACCATCCATCATATACAAGCATATCTGAACATAACAGCCCTAATGTGTAAGCTTTAGCAAAAGATACGACTTCAATCATACAGTTAATAAAACATTATTAAAACATTTGTAACAAATAATTATATGAAATAATTGATTTTAATACGAAAAATAATTTTTTTCAGGCACATCTATTAAATATTACAAACTGACGTTTAAAAAAAGGGTATTTTAAACTTTGTATTTCAAAAATTGGAAAACAATATTTAACTTAGAAAAACAATAATCAAAATTATTAATTAATTATAAATTATTTTATAAAAGTCAGTGATCACTAATGAAAAGTACATGCAAAACATAAATATTACTCATTACATATTTTACCAATACATTAAATAACTCAATATATTTTAAATAACTCAATATAATTAAATTTTTAATGATAAAAATTGTATAATTCTTTTTCCTTGTGTAAGACTTCCTTAATGCATAATTTCCTCTGAGATATAGTTTCACATATTTAATATAAAACAATGCTATACATTAGCTTAGCTATTATTCTGATTATTCTGTCATGAACTAGGCACTTCAGGTTACTTTCGCCTTCCTTGCCCGCAACCATGGTAAAGGTAGATGGCCGAGTTCCCTAGTTGTTGTTTTTTACCCTTACTCCATCTCCGTTTAGCATATTTCGCGTTGTGAAAAGCATATGAATGAAGTCCGACTTAAGCCATAATTCTCAAATAAGTCGGAGAAAATAAGTGCGGTGCGGTTATTTCACATGCGTTACGATGAGGAAGGGTGAAAAGATTTAAGGGGACTCATACACCTTAAAACCCATAAGATGTTCGAATAGGTGACTGTTGCAAGAATTGGAATAACTTATTTATTTTAAAAGCAATTACTACCAACTTTTTACAGCTCACTACATAATATAGCTGCTTTCTGAAATAGTAATCAGAAAGTTTGTGTTGCCACAAATATTTTTATATTTTAATCCGCTTTGTGACAACATTTTTCGTCGTGTTTCCAACTTGCGCGCACAGTTTAAAACATTCTGTTTTGTAATTTAATTCCATATTTAATATATAGCTTTTATAACATTTGGAAACTACTGTGAACCTAAAATTCTAAAAATTTCATGTTAAATTTTTATTTTATTTGGAGTTTGAGTTTATAAAATGTATTTTATTAAAAAAATCTGTAATGTTTTCGTCCATAAAATTTTTAAATATTAAATATTCATCAGATTTTTGGTTCAAGTTAGAAAATAGTGCCCCATATAAAGAATTCCATCCAATTTCAAGTATGTACCATGAGCCATTTTTAAAAATATCATGCGCGCAAGGTGGAAACATGGACGAAATATTTTGTCACAAAGCGGATTTAAATTACAAAAATATTTGTGGCAACACAAACCTTTTCTGGTTACTAGTTTTCCAAAGCAGAACCACTATCCATTATGTAGTCAGCTGTAAAAAAGTTGGAAGTAATTGCTTTTAAAATAAATAAAATATCGCAATTCTTGCAAGAGTCACATATTCGAAGATCATGAGGGGTTTAAGGTGTATGAGTCCCCTTAATGTAACAGAAGAAAAGGGGTGAGCTTTGGAAATGAAGTTCACGACTTAATTATGAAATCTCTAAGAAGGATTCCAATTTTTGCTCATTTTAGTGCAAAGGGCTATTTATATATTAGAGATAAAACTAGCCAGAGAATATTACAAAAATTGAAAGGACCAACATGCTTTTGCATCCCATGCGCCTATTTCACACTCAAAATTGTTTTAGAAAGTGATGTATCTATTTTGATATTTATCGTTTTTTGTTTACTTTAAAATAAATCTTCTGATTAGCTTAATTTATCACTTTATGATCACATTATAAGGTATTTCTCTCGCCTTCTTAGTATGCCTTCGTGGTGCATGCCTTCGGCGCCTATTCGAGAGGTCTGTGGTTCAAGTCCCGGAGAGGGCATTGCTCATTTTTCATGAGTCATGCTTCAAAATCACCTAATGTCTCTACAATGGTGCCTGAACAGGGACAAAAGTGGTGGACGATGATTCTCCATCGCCAGGATTTGGCGATTGGGTTCCCTAATCCCCAGTCTCCGTATGTAAGGTATTTCTCCCGCTTCTTAGCATTCCTTCCTGGTGTAATGGTCAGCACACTCGGCGCATATTCGAGAGGTCCGAGGTTCAAGTCCCGGCGAGGGCATTGCTCATTCTTCGATTTCCCTGCGTACAAAAATCCTAATGTCTGTACAGTGGCGCGCGAACTGAAAAGGTGGTGGATAATGATTCTTCAGCAACAGGATTTGGCGAATTTAGGAGGAGGAGGAGGAGGAGGAAAGGCAAATTCTCTCGCAATTTCAACGCTCTCTTCAACTCAAGATGCAAAAATGCAGCTTGACAGTATATAAACTGTATCATTACGAATGTTTTGTTTGTTGATGTGGCCAACTGTTAGCTTAACGGGAAGTAGAAGCATTTATACAACTTCTTAAAAATCAGCGCATATATGTGCACAGATGCAGTTTAAAGGGACTGCTGGATGAGATTGATGCTGTTTTGTGTATTTTACAAACACATTGAAAACTATGACCTCTGATAAATTGTTAAAGATGTTACGAAGTTGTATGTGGGTGACACTTTTGTGCTATTTGAATTCTTAATCTTAACATAATGCTTCAGTTTTAATAGGATTAAAAAAACTTTTGAACCTCTCTATAAAGAATCCCCAGGTTTTACAAATGAATCTTTTGGTCCCACCCAGTTTCTTAGACACTTAATGATATTTTATACCGCTGTGATACGTCTCCAAACGCATGAAAATTGGATAGAGGAAACTGTATGGATTAATTTCGTTTGAAATGTTCCTCGTTTTTTATAGTTTTGACAGAATTTGTGCAAGCTTTAACCAGAAAATTACCAACCCTTAAAATAATCTAGGATTTTTCTTTTATATCCACTCCTACTTTTCTCTGTGCTCTAAGAGAAGGTTCTTCAAGAGAAGTATGAACCCAGTTAGAGAACGAAGACGCAATAAACATTTATAACAGCATGAAATGATATACGCGACCACTGAGCTAAAAACTGTGAATATTTAATTCAACTACCAGGCAGGGCTCTATTCAACACTGATGCCGCAATGAAAATTTCGCAATTCAGGGAAAGAGGAAGTGGTAAACCTAATGAACTCCGGGGTCTATCGTTAACGTATCTTTTCCGGAACAAAATTTTGGTTCTTATTGGTTTGTTTTTGTTCGACTATAAATGCTTTGCAAGCTTGCCCTTCAGATGAGAGTTTTGCATTCTTTAGGTGTTTTGCAAGACATCATATTCTTTATAAAGATTACCGAAGCTCTGAATTGCGACCAGATATACCTTGCATTTTCCCTGGGCATAAGACAAGACATATTGGTGACGGTAATTTTTCATTTTTTTCCCCCCCATAAGAACGAAACTCACTGAATCTTTGATCAAATTCTCAGCGCTCTACTTCTGTGCCAAAAATTCATCCGCATGGCGAGCTGTAAATTCATTGAAGTAAAATGTAAACTATCTTTCTGGGAAATGTCAAGTTTTTCAATATTTTATCAGTTTTTTTTTTTTTTTTTTTTTTTTTTTTAATTCTTTTATTCACAGTCATAGCAGAGGCCACGAAAGATCCGCCGATCCTGTCCGCCCAAGTTACCTACAAGCAGTGGCGTAGCTAGGGTGGGGCAAGGAGGGACAGCTGCCCCAGGGCGCAGCATCCAGGGGGCGCCAAACTGATGTTATGAAATTTTAGAATGAAATGCATTCCATTCTTGGCACACAGAAAGGGGCGCAAAATCTTCAGTTGTCTCCGAGCGCTGAAAACCCTAGCTACGCTTTTGTCGACAAGAGGCCAAGCGGAGAAAACAGTTCAGAGAGGGAATTCAACAGACTACGAAGCAGGCTGGGGAATCAGAGTCCTCCCAGCGACAAAGAAAAATCAAGAAAGACCAAAACTGGGCCATAAAGGGAGACTGCCGAACAAACCAGAATGTAAAACACGGCCTAGGAGACTGCTTCGCTTACACGAAACAAGGATATATCCAACCTGGGACAAGTTTCTAGCCAAGCGGATGGGTCATCATCAAGGGAAAAAAATATACCATATAATTCCGTAGTATAACGCATACCCTTTTCTAAACTGAAAGAAACATGTAAACTAAGATTCTAAACTAAGATTCTTCCCAGGCTTTCAAACAATGGTATACTGAAGTAACAAGAGTTAAGGGGAACGGGATCTGTGTAGATGAAATGCTTGAGGGAAAAACAAATTTTGCAAAGAGGTGGTTTATATTCATTGCAGGTGGGCAGAAGAATGTTTTTTAAGGGTTTCGAGAAAGGGGGACATAATTTAGAAAAGGCTGTTACTAATTTTAAGAATGCACATCTGACCTGAAAAAATTCGCGTAGTCATTTGATGTCGTGATTTTGAAGTGAATATCGAAAGCTTTAGTAAATCTCATTTGCTTTACTTAAAATACAGTTGATCTAGTATTCTTTTTAGTAGTGGATATATCTCCTGCCAAAAGAAACAAACATAGTGCTGATTTCAAATGCAAAATCATTCAATTTGTAAACGAAAATGGAAATCGTGCTACAAGCAAGGACGTTTGGTGTTGGTGAAAGCTCCAACACCAAACGTCCTTGCTGTAGCACGGCTGGAAGACAAGTTGATGGCTGGAAGACAAATGAAATCACACTAATTAATTTACCAAAGAATAAATGTGTTTTGCGTAAAGGAGTAACAAAATGGCTTATTCTAGAAGAAAATATTGTGAACTTGATCCTAGAAAATCTCAAGAATGTATTAATTGTAACAAGAAACAGCGTAAGTTTATTTGCTTTATAAGGTATTTTCTCCTTCCGTTCCTCATGCCTTCGTGATATAACTAGAAGCCCACTCGACGCGTATTCGGGAGTTCCGGAGTTTGAGCCCTGGTGGGCACTGCAGAATTTTCACGTCTCCAGCATCAAAAACACCTAATGACTCTGCAGCCTTAAAGTGATGGGGAAAGATTGCAAAGGAATTATAAACTTTAAACCAACTTTGAGTAGGTGTAGTCAATTTATAGCACGGAATAATTTAGTTCTGTACCAAAAAACAAAAGGCTTCCGCGAAAGATTTGGACAACAAACGAATAAGTTTACAGAAGTATGTTATTGATCTAAGAAGGAAAAAAAAATATTTACTGTCACTTGGAAATATGGATGAAACTCCAGTAATGTTTCATATGATAGGAAACAAAATAATTCATGTGAAAGAAACAAAAACTGTTCTCAACTAATCAACAGGTAACTAAAAATCTCACCTCCCCATAGTGTTTTCTTGCTTAGCGGACGGTACAATGTTAAAACCCATGGTTATTTTTAAAAGAAAGACGATGCCGAAATGTAATGTAAGTTGGTGTTTTCATTCATACTCACGAGAAAGGACGGATGGACGAAAACGGCATGAAACTGCGGATATTAAATATTTGGCAAAAGCGTCCTGTTCCCTTAAAGAAGTCTTTTAGTTCGAGACATGTTTAGATCCCATCTAACGGATAATACGAAGATATTGTTGAAAGAGCGTAAAACAGGCATGGATGTTATTCCAGGCGGATTAACGCCATTAATTCAGCTTTTAGATGTATGTGTCAATAAAACATACAAAGAAAATTTAAAACACTAGTGGAATACGTGGATACTAGAAGGTGAATAAACATTTACCAAAGGAGGCCAAATGCGTTATGCTAGTCTAAAAATAGTATATGAGTGGATAATAAAATCACGAAATGAAATTAAACTCAATATAATTCAAAAGTCATTTAAACATTCAAAAGTCATTATGTAGTATGTATAACAATCTAGATGGAATGAAGATAATTATTTATTTATGGATGAGAGTAAAAGTGGTGATAAAAATGGAACAGAATTCGATGGTGTGCCTGAAGATATAACGAAAGATGAATATGTAACGTATATTATATATATATGTAATATATATGTAACGAATATTAAAACGTATGTAGGTTCTTCAATTTTTCCGTTAATAGAATAATTCTATTTTGTAATGCACATTTCACACAATTTGGCTCAAAATAGCTGTGCTCGGAGAAGTAGTGCCACTTTTGACAGTTGTGGCACTATGGTATTTTCGAAATATATTTCTCCTCCGTGACTGCATACGATTTTTAACGCTGTAAATCGACGGAAAAATATTCAAGAACTGTTTTCTGTTTAGTTACTACGAAGACTTCCACTGCCCAGATATCAATTGAGTCAATTAAAGTAAAATAAGTAGTGGATTTTGTTCTGATATCAGATCACAAAGCTAATATGGAAATTCAGAGGGAAAAAATTAAAATCTGAATAAATATAAATAGGAATAATAAATTTTTCCATTGCTTTCTACAAACAGTTCTTAAAACAATTACTAGTAACTTAAGTTTCCTGAAGGTAAACATTAAAATGCATGAAATGTGATGGACACATGAATTTCATGCACTTGTAATGGAACCATCTGAAAGTATACATCTATAATTCAGACGTTATTCATCAAACTGGATGCAGCGTGCATGCTTCCTGCCCTTCTCCAGAAATTCATAAACATTAGGATCAAGAAAAAATTTTAATTCTCTTGTTTTCAGTCCCTTCTCCCAGCAGAACCTGCTACAATCTCTCTCACAAACCTCAAATCACAAAAACCATATAAACAGTCAAGAATATCCTCTATAACTCCAGCCAATTAAGAATCTGTATTCTAGGCACAGTATTCCCTCAGTAATTTTAATCTTCCATTTGGTTTACAAGAAATTATTAGATGATTTTAGGATCCCGAACTAATTGATTCAGGCCCTGCTCCTAACAGAGAACTCATTAACATTGAATTTATCTCCTAAAAATTTTTAATTCTATGATTCAAATTGAGACCACTCAAGACTATCATATCAAGACCTCAATTTGAATTTAAGTATTCATTTCTCAAAACTCTGTTTTTCTTTTTTGTTTGTTTGTTTGTTTGTAAGGTTAAGTCTCAGAAGCAGTGCCTTTTTTAAATTTGTGTATAAACTACCCTCTTCACAGAAGTTCACATCATGGCTGTTCCATTGCAGTTAATAATTTGTTAAAACCTGTTTTAGCATTTAGTAGCTGCGTGAGTCACTTACATACTCGTAAGAGATCAAGGTTTAAGAGGCATATATACTATTTTTTGAAGAAAAAAGGCATACCAGATTACCACTCAAAATACATATTCAATGTTTCTTTTTAAAGAAACACAACCTAAAAAATATAATGTTGCCTCATTTTAAGAGTTCATTAACTAAAACATACAGCATTTATAAAAAAAACTATAATTCAAATCAAATGAAAAATAGTTATAATGATAAAATAAATTGCCGAATAATTTATTACAATTATCACTTTGTGAGAGAAAAATTTAACAACATATATAACTTACCAAGATGCTGGAAGCTGCTTGTTTCTTCCAAAAATAATTCTCAGCATCCTTTATATATATAACAGTGGGCTGGGCAAGTCTTCCAACTTTAGAAATTAAATGCATTAGCATGTCTAGACCATCTTTACCAGGATATTTTCCATTAATGTTTTCTGCGGATAAATCCATTAATGTAGCTCCAGTTTCATTACAAATAGCATAAATTAAAGATTTTTTTCCTACACCATGTGGACCAGCAAATAAAATAGACTTCACATATGCTCCTTTAGAATGTATGCCTGGTGATCCTAAATAAATATTAAAGTATTATTTTAAAAATATCAGAATTACAAAATAAAAAATAAAAACTCTCATACAAAAGTATTTAAAAAACATAATAAAAGTAAATGGACAAAATGGCATCTAGAAGCCTGGTTGCTATTAATACTCTCTGTCCAATAATATGAAGCCTGGTATAAATTTCACAGTAAAATGCCAGGGTATATTTTTGTCAAAACAACTTTTCTCTTCTTTTCTTCAAAAATATACAATACAAAATAAGTTTTATATCCAAACTGAAACTATATAAATCAGAACTATTTATAATGTTATGAATATCAATGTTAATTTTACAGTAAAATAATTAGTTCAGGAAATAATGCACAAAACCACCTATTGCAAGCACTTTATGTAATATATATCATAATAACAATTAATACTTAATTTTTTGTAACATCATGGAAATATATCAATACTGAGAATTCAATGAGCAATGCAGTGTAAGAAAAGCTTTGTAAGTCTATTAAATGTAAGTTAGTAATGATATGTATATTTTCATAAATGGTAAATGAAACCATTAAATATTGTTCATCTACTGTTATATTATTTCAGAAAAATGGAAAATCATATTCTGATAAATTGAAAAATAAGTCAAGAAACCAAAGAGGCAAGTCAGGAATTGGATGCCCCAAGTACTTGGTAGGTGACTGGAGATAGGTTTTAACAAATGTCTAAGCAGCGATCACGCGAAGTCGAAATATTCCGGCATCGTGGCGTTTGAGCTTTGGCCTGCCGCTCCATAAACTATTCCAATGCGCTTTATCGGATTAAGAGTGTTGAGTCGCCAGAACATTAATTGGAAATCATCCGTATACTTCTCGAACTACTGCATCACAATTCGAGCCTTATGACATGGTGCGTTGTCCTGCTGGAAGATTCCATTTCCAGTTGAGAAGACAGACGCCATGTAAAGATGCAACTGATCCGACGTTATGTTCAGATAGTCCGCAGCTTTATTGATCTGTTCTAGCACTACTGAGTCTCACAGCCGCCCATAAGAAAGTGCCGCAAAGCGTAATCCGCCACCACCAACCTGTGTATGACCTGCTGTACGGGGGGCAAGCAGCATTTCTCTTGGAAGACGACGTACCCTGAGACGACCATCGACATGATGAATGAGAAATAGTGATTCATCGGACCAGGTAACTTTATATATGGTCCAGTCTCGATATTCCCGGATAGTAGGAGTAGTTGACAATGACGCTTGATCAACAGAGGCACACAGTGGGATGTCTGCTGTGCAGTCTCATATCCAACAGTGTCCGCTGAACTGTGTAATCCGAAACGCTTGCAGTTGGTCCCGAATTGTACTGGGCTGTCAGCCGAGCCACTGTCTGGCGTCAATTTTGCTGTACGAAGTGAGACAGTCTCCGACGTCCTTTTCCTTTGTAAACATCCAACACATTGGCGTCTACTACTGGTTTTACCTTCATTTATCCACTTTGCATAAATACTAGCAATGACAGATCGTGAACAACTTACCAGTCATGCAGTTTCGGAGATACTCGTTCTGAGTCTTCGGACCATCACAATTTGCCCTCTATCAACCTCACTTAGATCAACACCCTTTCGCATCATTCGCAAAATGATTCCAAATACAAAGATGATTCTTTATCTTCTCCAGCAGCAGTTAAATACCATTCCCACTAAATCACGTGCACTCCACGTCATCCAGATGAGTTCATTGAAATATGTGAGGATGGTCATTGACGGTTGGCTCGTCGAGTATATTTCGATGTTAGAACTTTGAAGTCTCAAAAAGGAATATAATATTACCACAATAAAATCAAAAGTGGAACAATTCTACAAGGAACAATTCAACTACTGGCTTTTGTCGATGACAGTGATATCATTGGAGGATCTAAACTGGTCGTTGCTGAGGCATTTGTATCGCTTCAATATGCAGCAGGGAAGAGAGGTCTAACCATTAATGAGGATAAGACAAAATTTATGATGGTAACAAATAAAACCATGGACCTATCCCCTTTAAAGATAAACAGTTTTACTTTTGAGACTGTTAGACAATTTAAATATCTGGGCATAATGAGTGCAAGCTGCACAAACATTAAAATTTAAATTCAAAACAGGAAATCTATGGGCAACAGATGTTTTTATGGACTTAAAAACTAACTTAAATCCAAATTAATCAGCATGAAAACCAAAATAAGTTGCCGCTCAGATGGTATAGTGGTTACAGGAGCCTAAATGCGCTACCGAAGAGAACGGGTTCGAATCTCGGAGAAGGCATGGATGTTTGTATAGTGGCTTGTGGCATAGAGGCACTCTAAATATTTGGCAAGTCGAATGTCCTCTCGTGTGGTTTGATGGAACGAGAGAGAGGCGGGAGATCCTCGGATTACCCCTCGGGGTGCTCTCCCTCAAAACTGAGGTGGAAGTAGAAGTTCAACCTCCTTGAGGCTCTGGCAACCATTCTTCCATGAAATTCATGGACAAGACAACATCAACAACCAAAATAAGTTTATATAAGACTAATAAGACCTGTGGCCCTGTATGGAGGTGAATGCTGTATGAAAGCGTAGCAAGATAGAGGAAGCTCTACTGTTGATATTTGAAAGAAAAATTCTAAGGAAGATTTTTGGACTTATGAGACAAAATGAACTGTGAGAATATTATACTACCATGAAATCTATAAGGAAATAATAAAATATAAGGAATCGAAATTTGAAAAACAATTGCGTCACCACAATGTATTGTCATCCACAAACAGTTCTGCATTTGATAGCTTATCAGCAAATAGTTTAAAAATTGAAGATAAAATTTTGACAATAGAGACAAACACCATGAGCTTATAATGAAAACGTCTTACCCATGGGTAAAACACAAAATTCATTTATAACCCTCCTGATGTCCAATAGGCATGGCATAGGATCTCTTTCGGGATCATACTCCCAGTCCTTAACATATCCCACATAATTATAATCACCAATAAAATCGGATAAATTGAATTTTGGATAATTAATGATGACCTTTTCTTTGATAAGCTCTTCCAAAAGAGATTCAAAACTCCTAATAAATAGAAAAAAAAAGCTTTAATCATCATTAATCAATAATTAATAATTCAAATTAACATTTTAAATAATAAGTACAGGATGTTCATTTTATACACCGGAAAATGATGTTTTAAGTAATATGAGACAGGGGGAAAAACTGAATGAATTTTATTTAGCACTTCAAAAATTTTGTATTAATATGCTTCAACATAAGTGCCATTAGTTGCTCGGAGAATACCAAGTGTGTTATCAGTTTCCCTTTAGACTTTACTAAGCATTTGTGGAATCACAATAGCTGTTTCTGTGGTAATTCGACTTTTTGATTCATCGGTGCTGTGAATCTTTGCAGCATAAACGTGTTTCTTCAAATATTACCCAAAAAGAAATCTAGTGATGTGAAGTCCAGAGAACGGGGTGGCCATGAAATTGGTCTATCTCAGCCAAAGCAACGATTTTGGAATGTTTCAATAAGGAAATGATGCACACGTATAACCCAATGACAGGGGTATGATTTTCTGGAGAAAATGATCATTATTACAGATATGATCAAGAATGGCTAGAGAAAATTCCATACAAATGACTCAAGCATTAGGTTTGATTTGCTGACGAATCTCCATTTATACGCAGTCAGCTTATTCGTTTATGAATAACATTATGGACAGTCGACCTTGAAATTTCTGTTTGCAGACTGGCATGACGAATGGATTTACTGGGTCTGCACACAAATATATCTCGAATGGCGGAAGTATTTTCATTTCTGACGCTTAACTTTTTCTGACCTATCTGAACCTCCTTTACGCAAAACATGTCCGGTTCCTCGACACTGTTTTAACCATCTTTTAATTGATTGTTCCGTTGATGGGGGTTTATGAAATTCATGCCCAAATCGCCTTGAAAACAATCAGTTATAGGAGATTTCGGTTTCCCATAACGCACATTGGCTTTTTCACTGCATGACGTCCTTTTGTCTGTAAACAAACAAGTTCCCTATTGTCATTCTAAAAACGTTTTCTATTGTCATTCTAAAAAAAAGTAGAACAAATGAAATTCCTTGAACTAAAGATTTTATCGATATAAATTATTTTCGGTTACTTCATAAAAATACATTTCAATTTAATTTTGTTTTCTGATGATTAATATGGATACCCTGTATACCAGTATTTCTCTTTAAATTCCGATACCAAATGCTATTTTCTAACAATGATTTCAAGTTTTGTCATTTAAAATTGAAACACCAAGCTAATAAAGCATAGAACTTAAACTTTTGGAGAAATACGTAATAAGAAAACTGCTACATAATGTAAACATGTTTTTCAGCACCAAATTTGAAGATGCAACATTTTTAAATACAGTGGTTTAATCAGTCTTTAGTTAAATATTATTAAGTCAACATTAACAGAAATTATTCAAGATAAAATTTATATAAGCATCATTATCTCATTGCATTTCGTAGGTAATGAATATCTTTTATCTTTCCCTTGTTATACATAGTGTGATCAATCATCATATGTTGTGAAACTCCACAATATATGATGTTTGTTGCAGTGAAGAATAAACAAAACTTGCTTCATTTTGTGTTATAATATGGAAAAAACCTCTAAAAATTAGAAACTATACTAGAGGTTCGTTGATTAATTAATTGCAATAAAGTGCTCATATTATCAGCGGATGGGTACGAAAGTCAGCATGCAAGACATTCTGAATGAAACTACTGTTTCTTCGAAAATATGACCTTGTCTTACATTAATTTCTACTGCAAGAGACACGCTACGCTTATTTTCAGGGCATGCCTTATTTTTCACGCAATATAATTAACATTTGTTCAGGTTCAAGAAACACATTCCTTTAGGTCCAAGAAATACATTTATTCAAGTTCAAACATTCAAAAAATGAACAAAATCATTTATTCTAATACAGCTATATCGTCTACTTCTGGCTCCAAATCACGAATTCCAGGCTGAATTTTTTGCGACTTCATTTTCTCTTAAGACCATTGGCCCTAGCCCCTTACGTTGAGTAATAGAACTCTCCTCAAACGAGTTTTTTTGTCCATGTAGCCTGCTCGTAGGGCATCGGCAACACAGTTGCCCGTTATTTTAATCCTATGTATTCTTCACCCAAGTAAGGACTTCTTGCACTTCACAAAGTTTCCTCATTGATTTGTCTTCATTATATTTTCAATGTAGTTATTGAATCCTGTGCTCAAAATGGTTTGTTTATCGCAATATCAAGAATTTAGAGATATGCAGTCACTCCTGCGGGAATCATTATTTGACCAATTCTTTCTCAAAGGCAGTTCTTCAGTAGTTTAGCCTGGTGAGTGTTCACAGAATCCCACACTAGCATATCTATTGGCCCTCTTGCAAAACAAGTGGTAGAAATAAATCGACCCATTTCTTATTGCTACTTGGGTGCACCAAAGTTTTTCAATCTCAAAAACATAAATACCTGAGATTCGATTTTCTCTTTCTTGCCATTAGAGATGATTAAAGGGGGAGGGTTTCTTTCCATCGAGAAGAATGGCTAAAATAAGTGTAATGGGTGCACTTTCGTAACCAGTGGAATGAATGTGTATCGCAAAGGCAGTCCTCTTATCGATTGTAGTTCGAGACCCTTTGCCCATAAACATTGCCTTTTCATCCATAGAAATCATGCTGTTACTTAGAAAAGTCAATGCCATCAACGAAGCAGTTGACTGCAAGTACATGTTTAATCACTTCGCTATCTTCCAATTTGAACGATGTTGACGATCTTCTTAGAGACAATTCATACCGATGAAGGAAGCCATCCATCCACCCAGTGTTGTGATACTTTGAATTCGTTTGGCGATATGTCTAGCTGTGGTGTCGTTGCAAGGGCAAATTAATCTCAATAAAGCTTGAATATTAGCCCTGCGAACAAGCAAACGCTTGTTCTGTCAGCAAATGCATTCAGAGATGATGTGGTCCATTCAGGAAATAATGGTTGCCGACCTGATCCACACTTAACGCTTCTTGGTATTTTCCCCGTCGATTTGTTGACTAAGGTTATTGTAACTGATCCCCAGTTTTAGACCATTCGTAGATCCAACTTCTTCTCTTTGTAGAAGGCTGTAAGATTTCTAATAGTCTTTTACAATTCCTTTCTTGTATTCAACGGATTAGCTCTTTCTTTTTGCAATCATTTTACCTGAGCATCAAAATTTTTTAACCTTTAAATTTATCATTAAATAAAGTGCTGAACGTGCGTTGCTAAAGAGACGTAGATTGAATATAGAAGATTCCAATTTGTAGCAAATTTGCATATTTGTTGCATCTGAATTTGGTCATTCGGCATTCGGCAATACGGCGCCTCTGTGACTGATGATCTTATTTAAGGTTATTTTAGGAATAGGGCTTATTTTACCCTGAAAAAATCATGCTAGGGTTTATTTTTTGCTTTGGTCTTTTTGGGAAATACGCTAGCTTATATTTATGTTAGCTACGGGGAAAATTCTATGCAGCTAGTACTTGAATTTATTGCTTTTTCTAATGGAAAAGAAAAATTAAACATGTTGCGAAAGAGTACGATAAACATCATAGAGTCTATTCGAGTTTACGAAATAAACATGTGATAATTGACTTATTGGCAGAAAATAAACCTACACGAATTTTAATAAGATGATAGTAAATTCTTAGGTCTTAAATTTTTTGGTACACAGAAATTTGGGTTTTACTTTTGGAAATTTAAAACATGAAAATCAATGTTTTTACATATTACCTGATTAAAACTTACCTACATTATATTTTTGGTAAATTACACCGTACTACACAAAATTTGTTTCATACAAGTGCTTATTCTTTATTAATTTGAAAGTGAGTGAATATTAAGTGTTTGGCAACATAAGAGTAACATGCCAATATGCACAACGAGTCATTTGAAAAGACTGGAACATGAAAATACGCAGAAAATAATCATCCGATACATTAAAAAAGGGTAATTTTAACCAGGGTTTCTAAATACTGCCCCTGAACCTTACCATGCAGAGGGAGGAGGTTGCAGGTACTCAAAACAAGCACAGAAACATGGAAAATCAGCGTATACAGAATAAAAGAATACCCTACTGTGGAGCTATACGGTACACTTCAGCCCACTTACGTTACTGATCAAAGTACATGAGAAATAGATTTCTTACCAACACAGCTGAAAATATCGATCATTTCAAGCTGTAAAATTTCTAGAAGTTATTCTGAATCCTTAAAATAAGAGTACAGTCAAAAGTCGTTAATTCGGACAACCATAATCCAGAATGATCTATAATCCGGACCTCAAAGCTAAAAACTTTCTGGGCATGCGCCGCGTTGACACATGCGCATAGGCGTTTACGCGTGCGCGTAAGACCTTTTACGTATGCGCAAGCGCAGAATACGTTTTCGCGTGCGCGTTTTATGTATAACAGACGGTATAAATTAAAATTATCTCATTATCTATTTCAGTTAATGTTGATGATTGCGTTGTTCCTTAATCTTCGAATTGGATCCGGCTTATTATTTTTTGCAGACTGTAAGAGCAATTTTATAAAAGTAAACTGGAACTTTCGATTATGTCAAACAGAATTTCCGATTCTGGAGCTCCCAAAGGATCATACAAAACGAAAGTATGTTTCGATGTCCATCAAACAAAAAGTGGAATTGCTGCAAAAGATGGATAAAAGACATGAAGAATGTGACAGAGAGGTTAGTAAAAACGAAAAAATTTCGATTGACAGTTAGTCGGTATTCTCGGCACAGCAATTAACGGGACTTGAACAGCGGAACTTTGTAACTGAACAAGAAATTATGTCTGTTTATAGAATTAAAGAGAAAGTATTATCACATAAAACGAGCAGCAACTTAAACAACTTACATTGAAAGAAATGTTTAATAAAGTAAACAAATAAATATTAAGCTTTTTTTTTTTTTTGTAAATTTTGATACTCTTTAGATCATAATTGTTCTTTATTTCATAAATTACGGTTTCATATTTTTAATTTTAGAATTTCTGCATGCCTCTTACGAGATTTAAACTGATGATCTATAATCCGGAAAAATCGATAATTCGGAATCGCCGAAGTACCGAGAGTCCGGATTAACGACTTTTGACTGTAATCTCTTTAATATTTTAATAAAGCCGAATCTGAAAGTTTCGTAGCAATTTTTTTCTGAACATTTTGAAGATAAATAACCATAATAAGAATACGCCAGCATACAGGCTCTGACGAGAGTAACATGAGTGATCCATGTTCAATAAAGAACTGTGTACAATAAGAACAATCGTAAATAAAGAATATGTATCCTATCCACCGATTGAGTCAAATCATATACAAGGGATATGAAATACTGCATAAAATATAACATGAATTTTGATGTAATTTCTAAACAAAAGTAAATCTTAGAAAATAAACCGCATAATCATGTTCAGAAGATGAAATTTAGTAAGAAAATTTAGTAACTTTAGTTTTTTTAATTATGCTTAATTTTCAAAATATGAGCATCATATTGCTTATAGTTTTAAAAGTGTTATACGAATTTTGCTGTAACTTCTAAACAAGAGGGGATCATAGAATATAAAGTGTATTTCCATACTCAGGGTATTAAATTTAGTCAGAAGAAATGTCTCATCCCTATAACAGGAAAAAAAAAAAAAATGTAGAACAGTGTTATAAAAACATTATGTTGAAGTAAATAATACTGGTATTTTCAGTTTGTGCATGTTATTTCATGAAACTGTGTTTTTAGAACCAAACAATATATTATTATAATAAATACCAGCATACAATACATTCACAATAATGAAATTTTACAAACAGAAGACACATTAAATTCTAATTTGAAATAGACTCTGTTTTCAATTAAAGAAATACTAATCTACCAAAGTTATATGAGGTAATATACCTAACTGCTGAAATAAACAAAAATTTGCAGTGCTTCGTAGTGCACAATTTTAGTAAATGTGATATCATAAAATTTAAATCAATACCATGCTTTGAAAGAAAAATTTTCCAGTGTTATCAAATATGAAACATAGTAACTAGAAATAATTTTTTAATATTTTGCTTGCAAATGAATTATTTATTTATGATATAAATATTCAGAAAATAAATACTTTCCATATTAAAATTTTATTTTATAATATCCATGATTTCAGATAATGTTAATTTTATTTTACTAATTAAAGATAAAAGAATTAAGGTCAATAGATTGTAGAATATATCCACGATCTTTAAAAGTGATAGAAAGATTCTTCATGTAATTTTTTTAAACCATTCACCTAAAAAACTTGCAAGAAAAGGTGAAAAATTATGGTTAGAAAAATTAGAGTTATAAATTGATGTTTAGTGAAAAATTTAGGCACATGAATTTAAACAAAAATATTTTTCTCTTGAAATGTGCAGTTACCGTATCAACACTTGGAAAATAATTAATTTTTCTATCAAAAAGCATATGATATACATGAAAGAAGCACACTATAAATATTGTCAGATATTTATTGCACTGCAATGAAAATACGTTTAGATTAGTAAGATTTGACGAAATTTTAAAATCTATACTTCTATTACATTTAAAATTTTCATTCTTAAAAGAAAAGTTAATTCATGTTAAATCAAAAAGTGGGAAAATTTACATCATATATTTTAGTAATATAAAATATAGCAAAGTAGAGAAACGTTAGACTCACACAGTGACAATTTAATTCTGTCTTAATAAAAAATATCCTCACTATTGGGTCAAGTCTTTTTCTTTTTTACTTTTCCTTTCCTTTTCCTTTTCTTTTTTCCCTCCTTTTTCATGCTTTTTTCCTTTTTTACCCAAGTCTTTCTCAGAGGCTTTAAGTATATTAAATAAAATATTATAGAAAAATATCAAATTATAAGTATTAATATGTTAGAACTTTAGTTAACTATTTCAAATTAATTATAATGCAACAAATGAAGAATAAAAATATAAATAATTAATATGAATTAATATATTTGAATTTAAGCCATGCTTTGATATGATCAAGCCCAATACATATTCAAATTTTTTAAGATTCAGGTCCAACTTAAATGCAAAGTGAATATTTTAACACCTTTATAACTGAATAAATTAGGTAGATTATTATAGTTATATAAATAACTATTCAAAAAAATTGAAAATGCTTTTTTTTCAATCAATACTTATTATAAATTCATTTAAATTCTTCATTTTTTTCAACTTTCCAATTTTGAATTCCTTCTGGGCTTAAAATCTAGGATGGCTATTATTAAATATTTTTTTAATTTTCCAATTTTAAAATCCTATCACAGCTTAAATTTGAAGTCATACAGTATTAAAACAATAATAATAAAATAGCAAATTCTCATACATAAATGAAGTGTAAATTGAAAAGAATTTAATTTTAAATCAGATGATGCAATAAGGACTCGATGCAAAATTTTTCAGACATTAAAGTATAACAAAAAATATAATTCAGTATAATTTCTGGTATGGTTACTACCTTAATGGGAAATTAATGTTTTGTTAGTTGCATTTGAAGTCATTTTAGGTAGCTTTTATTATATTAATTAAACACATATTAAGTTACTAAAGTTACTGAAAAAAATATTTTAAAAAATCAGCTTCATAGAGTAATAAATATATATGTACTTCTGTTAGGCGGCTGAGTTCTTCTCTCATAATTTTATCTGTATGCAGTCTAACAGATAATTCCATCTCTAGAATTGCTTCTTTCTTCAACATTTCTTCATCATATTTATCATAAATATCCACAGGTTCTTTTTCAGCCCAAACTCCTATCAATCATTGTAAAATTGCTCTCTGAATAATAAAGGTATCTAATATGAAAATAGAATTTCTTCTAATTATTTAAGGTATAAATTTAAAATAAACAGTTAATGGGAAAATCTTGAGAAACAATACAAATAAAAGTTTACAAGAAAAGAAAACAAAAACTAATTATAGATCTATTCAGGATTATTAAGAACAATGGTAATCATTCTCTATGGAACTCTTATGGTAATCATTTCCCCAAAAAGAACAATAAACAGGCTTATCTGAAAATGACTATGTCATATTTTGACATTATTCTTGAAGCTAACTACTCCTTAATTTAAATGATATTTCCTCAAATATGCATTTAATGATGAAAAAAATGCCTAATTTTCTTATAAAAAATAAAATATTTAATATCTAGGGGTTTCCAGTGGGTTCAATGAAATACCAAAGGGAATCAATGATGGAGTCAAATAGAGATCGAGAGCCGAACATGCACTGGCAACTGATTGGCATAATCAAGATTCCATTAAGTACAAAAATGATTTATTAATAAAACTGATAATTAATTATTTATTGATATAAAACCTTTTTTCCCTTTTTTCACATGAGGCACACAGCTCTCATGTGCTTTGTCAAATTTAACTACTATAATCTTACTGACGTATTTTCAATGCGTTTTTAATTATTACCTTCCTGATGATGGTAGGAGTCTTCCAAAAATCAATTATGGTTTTATAGGTTCCCTGGGTTAAAAAAATATCAAGACCGCAGACTGACATTATTTCAGAAAATTAAGATATTTTTCCCTAAGTTTTATTTATTTTGCTACATTATTTACTACTTATCATTGTAATTAATTTATCATATTATTAATATAATGACCTTAATAACTGATGCATTGCATTACAACTTTAATATTTTCCTTTAGGAAACTGCACGGGCCTTCAATAAAACAAAAGCTGTATACAGAATTACTAATTACCATTACCAAATCTCACAGATGACCTCCTTTATAGAAATTTAATATTGTTTTGAAGTACGTGATTATCTTAGGGTTCACTACATTAATATCTGTTTTAAAAGTCCTTGTTATCATGTTAAATTTATTTTTTGGATATTTGTTTAAAATTTAAAATGACTTAAACATACTATTGTATTCAGCAATGAGTTCAAGTAAGTCTGGGATATATTTTGATGCCTTCTGGCAATATGCGATTGATTCTCCCTAAAACAGGAAATGAGCGAAAATGTAGTATCATATTTTTAGAAAACTAATTAAAACAATTAATTACATGAAAATAATACTTACATCTTCTTTTTTGTCAACATCTTTTTTCTTATTCTCAATAATTTTGTCTTTCCCAGTACTTTCATTTTTCATCTAAATATGTTTAAAATAGAATACCTCATGCATGATATATATTTTATATAATATATTAATCAGTTATAGACAAAAAAGTAAGAAATTTAGAATCTAATTCACGAAGACATGAAGAAATGAAATCAAACCAGTAAAACTCCAAAATTTTGTGATACTTTTAATATATATATGTGCTTGTGTGTGTGTATTAATTAAGAGCAAATATTTTCATACAATATTAAAATGATATTCTATTTTTTTTTGAAAAAATAAACTTTTTAAAATTTTTCTGGTGATAACAAAAAGAATCCCAGTATTACATGTGCTAACAGTATTGATGATATGAATACAGTCTGAAAAAGCTTTAATCAGCTTCTTAAAAGGGTGGTATGTATTTTATCTGTTCAATTTCTAATGGCAAGATAAAGATTGTAAAATTTTGATTTGCCCATCAATTGGAAAAGTTTACATACTCAATTCATACAGAAACATTAGGAAATTTACCATGTAAAATTCTTATAAATGCTTCTTGCCCATGTTAATGCATTGTTGCAAGCAGGGCTGTGGAGTCGGTAGGGAAAATGACCGACTCCGCCTCCTTCATATATATGTAAACATATACATATGGGTACAGCTTATTTCTTTTAATATAAAAGAAGTAATAGATGCTACAGAAAAAAATTGATGCATAGCAAATTTTTTATATTAATTAGCATTTATTATGAAATGGAAAAACTGGCATTATCAATTTTTAAGGAACAGTAAAACTTCGGCGAGATCTTTGTTGGAGAACCATAGATCCGATTTGATAAACTTCAGAACTGAGAAGAGTCTTTCTACACTGACTTGAGTAGGAAGAAGAGCTGTTACTGTTAGGGCTACTCACTTTAACTTTTCAGGATAGATTTTTATAATTTATAAAAGAAGTGTCTTGCAAGAGCAATCATATTTATCTATTTCTTCAAAGGCCGTGTATAAATCTTGTTTGTATTTTTCATTTTTATATCTAAAGGCTCTATTTATTTTCATTCGCTTTGCCTTAGCCTTTTCAATATTATCCAAATATTTCTCAAAATCTAATTCATCAGTGGAAAAGGATGATAGAGACTCAGTTGCAATATCTGCAGTTTGACTGTCCCGATTTGAATAATCCAGTTGTTCTGAGAATAATTTCATTCTTAATGAAAGTTCTTAGATGGCTTTCTTTGCTTTTTTAATTTGTTTGTCATCCAAAAAAATTCGGCGTTTTGGATCTACATATATTGAACCCAGCATGACCTTATTGTCTAGCAAACAAGTTTCTCTTTTCTTCATTGAAGAAATGATTCCTTCTGCAATAAACCCTTCATTTCAGAAAAAAACAAACATCACATTCTTCCAGTCTTGCCTCTTGTTAATTCTTCAGATTGTAGCGTTTTGGTGGCTATATTTGGTATAGAAAAAAGAGTTTCTAATTCTGCAAGATCATTCCACAGTCTTTCTGTTAGTGAAACATTAGGGTTATCTACATCTTCTAACATTCTCATCTCTTGTTAATTCTTCAGATTGTAGCTTTTTTGTGGCTATATAAGGTGTTGACAGAAGGATTTCCAGTTCTGCAAGATTATTCCATGTTATTTCTGTTAGTGAAATATTAGGGTTATTTACATCTTCTGAAAAAGTTCTTAATCTTAACAACCACTATATCATCAAATATGTACTTCTCCATTGTGTTGCTCCTTTTCCTGCTCACTTCCTAAGAATGACATCAATTTTGGAAGTTCTTGATGCTTACCTAAATTCACCAATGAGATTAGTAACTAAATGAATCAGTTTAATCAATAATGGAAAATATCACATCCATCCTGATCCCTTATATTTATTTACTAATATGTTAATAAAATGGAAAATAACTATTTATTAATGTATATAGTTCATACATAAAAATATTAAATCAGTTTGCCTATTAAAAAAACTCTGAAAGTGATTTGTAAAACATTCCTTCTCACAAAAAAAGTAGTCTTGTAATATTATCCACATAAATTAAAGTTTTCCTGACTTTGCAAACTACATATTACTAAAATTTTATTATTAATATAGAACGCTATAAATATATATTTTTTCATATAGAAATAACTTTACTTCTTTGAATCTTAGAACTTCCAGGCTCTTATTCGAGTACCAATAAAACAAGAAGCAGTACATTAAAGAAAACTAAAACAGTTTTTACATCTTTGGAATTGTAAATAAAGATCTGTTAATCATATTTCATAAAACTTTCTTTGTTGAAATGGTAGGTGTCTCAAAATTCAATCAGTTTGCATTTCTATCATGCAAAGAAACTTTTTTTCTTTAATTTATTTTCACAAAACATTCTCCTGCATATAAGGTACAAAATTAATTTTTATGATCAGTTATTTGAAAATTGTTTTGTATCATACATTTCTGAGAATAATCAATAGAATAATAAACTTTTGAACTAAAGACTGTCAAGACATTTAATTAAAAATTTTTAAATAACACCATTTGATATATCATTGCAAGTTTTGTTTGCCAATGTATCAACATATTTGGAGGCATCATCTTCATAAACTCCCCAGGGAAAATATTGAAGTTAAATTCAAGGCCATCTTTATCATACATTAAGCAGAACAAAATCAAGAAAGAAAATCAACAAAATCAATCAAATAGAGTATAAAATGAAATAAAGAATTTCACTTAATGTAAGATATCAAGCGATTTTGAGTTCAAATCAGTGAAACAGAAAGAAAATGAATAATATAAGCAATCAATTATCAAATGAACTATAATTTTAATATGTGTTTTGGAGTTAGATCATCAGAAATAACTTTCTGAAACTAAACTTTAAATTTCATAAGCCTATTTAATATCACAAATACTATTTGATATCACAAATAATAATAAGCCAACTTAATATCACAAAGAACTGGAAGAGCAATTTCCCTTGTAAGAATGCTTTTATGATAGAATTTAAAATGGAAACTGAGAACCCATACAGGGGTAAAACCATGAAATTATCGGTGTAGTTAATGAGATCTGAAAGTAGTACGAAATATTATAATTTAATTAATTTTATCCACTGCTATACTCAAAATGCATGAATTATTTTGGTGCTTGAAGCAATAATTAACATTATTGCTAATAATAGACTAAAGCTGCTAATAATTAGCCTATTATAAATTGCTAAAAACAGACTAAAAACAACAACAAAAAAAAAATGACAGATTAAATCTAAAAAATTGGAAAGTCATGTTTAAAAAACAAGCATTCCCATAGTGTCAGCAAATTTAACAGAACTGAAATAAACATGAAATTTTATAAAACTCTCTTATTTGATTCCTCAAACTTGATAGAAATGAGAATACATATATACCAATTTAGTTATGTAGCTAGTCAAAATGTAATCATTTTAGAGCAGTATTCTAAAGATATGTGTGTACAGTTATGTCAGAATGATGGTAGATTATCAGCCGTACAACAGAAAATTCATAGATTGTCTTTCTATTATCAGAAAGGCCTATGTCACTTGCATTTGATAACTGTATCTTCATTCTTATATGTAATACAATTTAAAGCAGAATTTCAGATGCACCGTATCCGAAAACATCCTTACCTGGCCTTTAATTTTACAGTCACTGGTAGTAAACACATACTACCAGTTACAAAAATGTTTCAAATGATGTAAATATTCATGTTTTGTCATTTTCATATAATGATAATTAAAAAAGATAATTTTTCTTAAAAATAATGAAAGTCAACTTTTATACATTCCCCTGGTCTCTATACTTTAGGAAAATTTATACTTGTGATTAAAAATAAAATGTTTGAGTCCCTTAAAACCAAAACTGACCGATATACTTCGTTATAAAATAAAAAAATATTCAATGCCTTATACAAATTTAAGAGCGAAATGTTTACGTTTGTACTTTAACTAAAAATAAAATATCAATTTAGGAAAAAACAATTTTGGGGATGCACATAGATTAAGTGAAGAATACTTTTATGCAGCTTGTCGTGAAAAGTATTAATCAATATAATTGTATTCAAAAAACAAATATCATTCACCTAATTTTATAGAATTTGCATTATAGAAATAGTTAGTAGACTTCAGTACTTCCTCATAGCCATGAAATAACTCTATTTGCATGAATTATGTTATATATATGGGGTATTGGCATCTTATTAAAAATTAAAAAAACATTTGTGTATAGGAGAAAAGTTAAAAGTTTTTAAATATTTAAAATATATTGATTATGATTTATAATGATATGACATAAATTGGTGCGTATAAAAATTTGGAAACTGGAATTACAGAAATTTTTGAAGGGTCATGGTGTATAAAGAATATTGAATATTATACTATAGTAAATCTCAAAAGAATATCATTGAATGATATTAAAAAAATCGATCTCTAAAATTATTCTTATTTTTTTTAATAACTGACCCTTCAAGACAAATTAGAGTCAGATTCCCAAATTTTGAAATTAAATATCTAGATCAAAATTGGACGTCAAACTTTTTGTGTTTTATTTTTGATAATGAATATAAAAATTTCCTAAATATACGTATAATGATCAAAAGACTGTATGAGAAGTTAGATTTTGAAATTTTTATAGAATTCGTTTTTTAAATATAAAAATGCCAAAATAAAAATATTTACATCATTTCAAACAACATCGTAATTGGAATTATATGCTTACGACCAATGGTTGAAAAAACAAAGGTTGGGTAAGGACTTTTGTGGACACAGTGTATACTTACACATATTATATGCACATATACACGTACACAGTGTTTTAAAACCAATGAAACAAGCTTTAAAGCGTGATGGAACACACAGAAACGAACACTTTTCATCATAGAATACATCGTCGCATGGCAGGCAATTAAGCGCTAAAAGGCCATATCCCAGACACGTCATCTATTTGCAGTGTAAAGATGATGATGTCTGTTTTTTGCTTATTCACATACATATTTCCAGGTATTCTAAAGATGGTGCGTAAATCATGATTCTACTGTTT